TCAAAAGACTAAAAGGAACATTTCAATATTCATTTTGAAACTAGTATAGAAAATAAGGGAATCTCCATTTTCTACGATATGCTAGCCATTACTTGTGAATTATATAACATTTTGATATCAAACTATTTTTAAATTAAGATGGCAACACTTACTGGTCTGCTGGTTAACTATGGTTTTAACCCTGGATATTACTGTTTTGTCTTAAGGTCACTGTCCTATATTTGAAGGTAAGTTTAAATTCATCAAGCTAGGAAGATCTGAGATATATTTAAAAATCATCAAGCTAGGAAGATACTGAAATGTTAATAACCTTTTAGTAAGGAAAACTGGTTTGCATGTAAAAACTTCTAAACTCAAGACAGTAAAACAAGACAATCTGAGATGTTTTCATAGTTAAAACATTGCCTGATATTATAACACACAATTTACTAAGTACATGGATTCTATAAAGATAATATACTTTAACCATTTCCTTCAACTTTTTGCCCTTCAGAAATTCAATGTTATGAATTCTTTTTCAATAAATACTTTTCAATGCCATTGTGCTTTATTTAGAAAAAAACCAGTGAAGATACAGCAGATAGTAAATAGGAAACACGAGTCTCTTATTGCTACAGAATATCTTAATTTAAAAAGATAAAAGAAAAACTGACCCCAAAACATTAAAATAAACATTTCAGTGAGTTTTCCTTTGTTGAAGAGAAATATGAGTAATAGAAATTACATCAGATAGCCGGGTGCCAGTGGATTGTCCATGCAGGAAAGTCTGAGACTCTTATCTCTACCAGATAAACCAGAAGTAGCACTGTGGCTCAAGTGGTAGAGTGCTCACCTTGAGCTGAAGAACTGAGGGACAGCGCCTAGGCCCAGAGTTCAAGCCCCATGACCAACCAGAGAGGGGGAGGGAAGAGAGGGAGAGAGGGAAGGAAATTACATCAGATGAATATTACAAAGGAGTCTGTAACAGGTTCTTTTCCTCCAATCCTCGGCACTAACTTTGGATGAGACCTACTCCAAAAAGAACACACACTATCACCTCAGAAACCACCTGCAGCATCAAAGAGAAAAGCTTGTTTTAGCTCTCCGCACCACCGGCCTGCCTCCAACAGAACCCTATGTCCACTCTATCCAAGGAGTGCACTCCCTCTGAGGAGCAGGAACAAATGACTCTACTCATCCTGGCAGACTGTTTCTTAGAGTATCACTGATCTGTTTCATTTATAGGCCACGATAAATACCTTACTGGGAAAATGCATTTTACTTATGAACCTATAGTATGCCTCAGAACTTGGACCATTATTTAAACTAATCTCCTTTCTGCATTTAACAACAGCTCAGCTCAACTCCATCTTTGCATCCACTCACCCTGTACCTTCCAATGAATGTAGTCTTCCCAATTGATTAGTTCACCTGGCGACAGATGGATACTGCTCAAAAGATGTGATTTCAAAACCTAGCACAGTAACTTGCTCATAATGGGCTATTATGACTTATCTCGACATAGTTACAACAAATTAAAGAGTTAACATTAAATTTTCTCCTATCCTTATTTCTGTCACAGGAACAGGTAGAAAAAGCAAACTCAAAATTAGTAATTATGTAATTCCTTAGAAAGGCTCACAGTCCAACAAAATAAACACCAGGAAATAGGTACTCAAAAGGAGAATCAATTGGAATGAAGAGAGAAAGGTGGGGGGGATATGTAGTCATAATATTCAATGTATAATTTACAAAATTCAAAAAAAAATGAGTAAAGAGGTGGGGTTGGAACAGGAATAATGAAAGGGATGACATTGATCAAGATTCATTGTATTCATATAGTACACTTTGTTGAATGGCAACTCCTTCATACAACTGCTTAATGATTAACATTTTTAAGAAGTAATCATTTGTTGGGCCATGAATTAGAAATGTATTTCTGCCTAAAACAGGTTTGTGGGGGATGGATATATGAACTTAAAACTTCAAATGTATTCCAAGAAAGAACATTTTATAGAAAGGACTATCTTTCCTAAAAAAATCAGATTTCTATATCCCACATTACATTGGTTTTAACTGGAAATGCTGATTTATTTAGTGCCTTACCTCACTGTAATCTCTTTTGTGTGTTAATTTATAAGCTGGTCATTATGGCATATACCTAGAATCCCAGCAGTTGGGTGGTAGAGACAAGAAAATAATGAGGTTCAAGGCCAGCCTAGGCTACATCAGAATTCTGCCTCAAGGACTGGAAGAGTAGCTCAGCAGAAGACCCTGAGTTCAAACCTCAGTATCTCAAAAACAAAAACACTGGCTCAAAAAGCCAAAGGGCCAAGCACCCGTGGCTCATGCCTATAATCTTAGCTACTCAGGAGGCTTAGCTCTAAGGATCATGGCTCAAAGCCAGCCAGAACAGGAAAGTCCATGAGACTCTTATTTCCAATTAATCCAGGAAAACCAGAAATGGTGTGTGGCTCAAAGTGGTAGAGTACAATCTTTGAGCAAAAAAGCTCAGGGACTGTGCCCAGGTCCTGAGTTCAAGCCTTAAAACTGATACAAAAAAAAAAAAAAAAAACTGGCCGCTCATGCTCATGGCTGTAATCCTGGCTACTCAGGAGGCTGAAATTTGAGGATTGAAGTTTAAAGCCAGCCTGGGCAGGAAAGTCCGTGTGTCTCTTATCTCCAATAAACTACCAGAAAACTGTAGCTCAAGTGGTAGAACACTCGCCCTGAACTGAAGAGCTGAGAGACAGCGCCCAGGCCCAGGGTTCAAGCCCCACGACTGACAAAAAAAAAAAAAAAAAGCTAAGAGGCAGAGATATAGCTCAATGGTATAAGATTATAACCCCTTCATACAGCTACTTAAGGATAATAAATATATGATTTTAAAAATGAGAAGAGTGATTGCTTAGCATATACAAGGCTCTAGGTTTAATTTCCAGCACAAACACAAAAAAGGGAGAATTCATAAAAGCATTTAAAGTCACTACATTCAGTAGGCTAGAGCATGAGATGAGGAGACAATCTTTACTGTTTGAAAAATTCCTCTTTGTTTTTCAGTTCTAGTTCTTCATTTGTGTTTCTGGTGTTCGGTTTAGAAGTTACCCTAGCTTAGAGGTAAGGGAAAACAGAGACAGAATGTGTGTGTAAAAGGGGAGACCAATGAATGTATAGAACCAGACAGGTTCAATTACACAGAAAGGGGCTTACAGCCAACAGTATCAAATCATACAATTCAAAATATCCCGAGGAAAGGATTCTGAATGCTCTCACAAAGAAACGATAAATGCTTGAGGTGATGGATAACCTAAGTAGCCTGAGTTGGTCATTTTACAATGTATAAATGTACCAAAACATCACACTGTATCCCATCAGAATTCACAATAATTTGTCAACAAAATAATTTAAAAAACAAAGAAATTTCTACAAAACTATACACATCACAAATGTCTATTAGACAAAACAAGAAAAGACATTGTACATATACTAAAGCCAGGAGGTATAAAGAAAATCTCATAAACAGAGTAGATAGCAAAATAAGCTGTGGACATGATAGAAAAAAGTAAGTCAGGTTTCTTGTCTCCATTAGTGAGAGCCCTTGCAAGTTGCCTCAAAATGCACCCTCCCATCCTAGCAAAACTGCATGCTTCTCTTGCAGCAATACTTGTTACTAGATAATCTTAACCTCATCAAGTTCAAATAGGAAAAAAAGACTGCATCTATTAATAATTGTGTTAAATAGTTCACCTTCACAATTTAACAGGGAAAACTTTTGAGAGAATAGGACTTAACCAAAATATGCACACACTCGTCTACAGCCACAATGATCTGGTCAAAAAAGCAGTGGGAAGGAATTATCATTCATACTTTTGGGCTGTCAAATATTCTATTTTAAATGTTTCGATCAAATTGTTGACTACCATTTTGACACTAATCAGCAGAAGGCACCTCAGTATCACTTTATTTATTCTGTCTTCATTCCCAAAAATATTTAAAAGAACACAGAAAACACAAAGATAAAAATGCTAAATACTCAACGATGCCATTATTCACTAACATAAGTAGAAAGCACTTAATTCTTCTGAGTCCAGTCTACCATATATATTTAGAGTCAAACGATTAATCAAAGTTCTGCAACCTCCACACTGGCACTAAGGGTATGGGTATTAGTCTATCAAAAAGGTAGAGAACAAATTAAAATTAACTGCAAGAAAATCCTTCCTTGAATGAAGTTGAAGAGAATACTGAATTATTAATATTTATTTAAGACATTAAATAGCAGCTGTAGGTTGTGATTTCAGATAATGAGATAAAAGGGTCATTTACCAGGTATTAAAGAAGTAAATAACTTGTAATTTCTACTTTTAGGAACACCCAATGTTCCATCCTCAAATTTAAAATCATATTGTCAGTTGTCCTATATAGTTCAAAGTTAACGTTTATTCTATAAAATTGTGCATGTGTTCTAGTTAGGGTTGGAGGACATTGTTGCAATGTTATATTTTGCTTCCTAAATTAGCTCCAGCTACATATAATAGACAAGAACTAAGGTTAAATGAACTTAGATACAAATCCCAAGGAAAGTGTTTAGTCTATGTGTTGTACAGATTGATTTAAAATGAAACAGAAGCAAGTTTCAAAATAAATCACAGTATCTATTATATATCTTCAGCAAATCTTCAGTAGATGTCCAAGAATTAGCCTATATTGCCACTGGCTTTAAAAATCAAATTTAAACACACTGCTCTTTCACTAGTCTAAATGAATAAAAGCAAATGGTAATAATTTTAAAAAACAAAAGAATTCCCTCAGACTGAAGTGGAGGGCTCAGAAACCTAGTACCTAGTTCTTGAAAGAAAATGATTGCTAAAATCTTTTGGAGATAGATTCCAATACAGATTCCACTCATCAAACTCATTCATTATAGTACTGGAAAATTTGAGTCAATTTCACAAAATCACAAATTGAGTGATACATAAATAAGGATTTACTAAAAACAAAAAAAAAAAGTCTTCCAAAGGTGATATTTTAAATCAAAGTTTTAAATATGAAAGGTGTTTTATGTTGCTGAATTTTTCCATGTTTCAAATGTTCTTCACTCTACAGTTACAGATTTGGCAAGATTCCGTGGAAAGTCAACCTAAAGAAAAAAAAAAGAGCAAGAGTTGAAATCACACACACTGGAGAAAAAGCATTTGCTATATGGAAATTACTTTTGTTTGGAGTTTGGCTTCATGTTGTGTTTCTACAGTCACAGCTATGCAGGAGGATGAGATGAGATGGGAAAATAGTTTGAGCCTAGGAGTTCATGAACAGCCTGGGAAACATAGCAAACGTGGCTCAAAGAAAAAGGGAAAAGAATATCACGTTATCTTGAAATTAAACTGAAGTGAGGAAAAGGAATTCTAAATTGTAAAGGAGCCAGGACCTGTACTTCTATACAGTTGGCAGTCCTCACAGGGGGAATGGTAAATGTAAGAAAATGATGAGTGCTTGATAAGAAACAAACTCATTACCTTATCCATGTAATTGTAACCCCTCTGTACGATATTTTCACAATAAAAATAAATAAATAGGGGCTGAGAAGGTGGCTCAGTGGTAGAGCGCTTGACTTGCATGCATGAGGCCCTGGGGTTCTATTCCTCAGCACCACATAAGCAGAAGAAAAAAAGCGGGAAGTGGTGCTGTGTGGCTCAAGTGGTAGAGCGCTAGCCTTGAGCTGAAGAGCTGAGGGACAGCGCCCAAGCCCTGAGTTCAGGCCCCATGACTGGACCCAAAATAAATAAATAAAAAACTATAATAAACTCAAATATCAATTAACTTCAAAAAAAAAAAAAAGAAAATGATAAGTTATTGCTACAATAACTGGGAGACAGGAACACTAAATGCCTGTAACATCCATTGTAGTGGAGTTTTAAAAAACAAAGGATTGCCTTATCCAAAATATCAATGGCTACTCCGTTAAAAAACACATACTAAGAAAACAGAAAATTCCCCAAGGAGAATCCTAGTCTTGGAAGAAATCTCTAAGATTCCTTCAAGTTCTATAAGAAAATATGGTGATGGGCCTTGGAATGTGGCTTAGTGACAGAGCGCTTACTTAACATGCATGAAGCCCTGGGTTCGATTCCTTTGTACCACATAAACAGAAAAAGCCAGTGGCACTATGGCTCAAGTGACAGAGCACTAGCCTTGAGCAAAAGAAGCTCCAGGGCAGTGCCCAGGCCCCAAGTTCAAGCCCCAGGACTGGCAAAATAAATTTTTTTTTGGTCGGTTGTGGGGCTTGAACTCTGGGCTTGGACACTGTCCCTCAGCTCTTCAGCTCAAGGCAAGTGCTCTACCGTTTGAGACACAGCGCCACTTCAGGCTTTCTAGTGGTTTATTGGAGATAAAGAGTCTCACAGAGTTTCCTGCCGGGACTGGCTTTGGCTTTGAACGGAGATCCTCAGATCTCAGCTTCCTGAGTAGCTAGGATTACAGGCGTGAGCCACCGGCACCTGGCTAAAAATTTTTTAAAAAACAAGATATGGTGATGTAACCTAAAAATTGGACCCTGAAAAGATAATTTATGACAGACATATTAGGTGGATTTCTCAAATGCTATTATTGTTAAAAGTTTAGAAGAAAATACCAGGATGAATCCAGGGAAAAACCAACCACAGACTTAGGAGAGGAACCCAAAGGTTCTCTGAACATTTGAAATACTATTTGTTGAAATGAAGTCCAGGAAATGGAACTATACTTGTGTTGTTCTTATTACTGTTTGTGGTGATGGTGGTGTTTGTTTTTTTGGGTTTTTTTTTAAGGGGGTGTAGAGGGGAGGGGCAGAAAGGGAGGAAGGGTGAACAAATGCACTCACATTATTCAGTATACACTATGTGGAAAATGACCTATGTAACTTGTAAGCACAGATGGGAGGGGGAACTATGGGAAGGGGTGACGTTGTCCAAAAAAGCAAAGTACCCATTACCTGACTTATGAAATGGCAATCTCTGTACAACACCTTAACAATAATAAAATTGAATCTAAATTTAAAAAGTCCTAAATGTCTGCCATTGGTGGATCACTTACATCATAGCCTCTGAGCACAGCAAGATGGAAAGCCAGCAACTGTAAAGGGATCACACTGAGAATACCCTGCAAGCAGTCCACCGAGTGGGGAACCTTGATGGTTCTCTTTGTGTTCTTGATGGTCTCTGTATCCTCCTTATCACAGATCACTACAGGACGCCCCTGGGAAAGACAATTGCCCACACAGACACAGTCACTAGAAAGCAAATACGGGGCTCTAACACATGAATGTACAAGTTTTATACTACATAATCCACATTCAGTCTCACTGGTAGATTTCTTTTTTGATAGTACTAGGATTTGATCTCAGGATGTCATAGCTTCCTTGGCTGACAACTCTAGATAATTTGAGCTGTTTCCCAGACGTTTTTACTTTAGTTTTTGTTGTTGTTGTATGGTTTTGTTGTTGTTGTTGTTTGGTTTTTGTGGCTGCCCTAGGGCTTGAACTCAGGGCCTGGGCACTGTCCGTGAGCTTTTTTGAAGTCTAGAGCTCTACTATTTGTGCCACAGCTCCACTTATGGTTTTGTTGGTTGGAGGGGGAGGGGGTTGTTTGTTTGTTTTTGGGGGGGGTTTTGGTGGCTAACTTGGAGTCTCAGAAACTTTCCTGGCTGGGCTGGCTTTGAACCTCAATTCTTATTATCAGCCTCCTGGATAGTAGCTAGGATTACAGGTGTGAGCCACCACCCAGGCTGCTTTAGTTACTTTTTAATAGGGTTTCACATTTTTGTTGCTTTTGGTTTTTCCTCTATCCCGTCTTCCACCCCTCCTCCCCACCTCCTCACCACCCTTACCCCCACCATAACAAGCTGACCAGTATTCTCCTGTTCACGCTGCTAAGATGACAGGCACATGCCCCTATACCCAGCTATTGGCTGAGTTGGGGGTCTTACTAACATTTCTTTCTTTTCTTTTACGCAGATTGGCTTTGAACCATGATGCTTCCAATCCCTCAAGTAGTTTAGATTATGGTGTGACCCACCAAAGCCTGACTGCTCATAGATCTTTGTAAAATCCAGAGTTTTATGCAGTAAGTCTGGTTGATATCACATAGTGACAGAAACAGAAGTTTATGGGATTAAATAAATTTTAAAAATTCACATAACTAGAAGATTCCAAGTCTAATAAAAAAGAGGATGGGAGGAGAGAGGAAAGGAGAAGAGAGGTCAAGATAGAAAAACCAAACAGCACATTCCTTGCATTAAACCTCAAAAGCCATATTCCAAAAGCAAAAAAGTTAGCAAGTAAACATGTTTTTAAGTCAACTAGTACTTTTCTCTCACTTTAAATGTAATACCCAAATAAGCTTTTATAACCTAACTTCTAGATCCCTGAGATGTCCTCACAGTCACCTAACTTACCTGCCGAGCAATTACTTGCTGAAAAGCATTCTGACACTTGGCATAAGTGTGATCTCTCATGATGATCATGATGACAGGCATTAACTTATCCACCAAAGCTAGAGGGCCATGTTTCAATTCACCAGCAAGGATGCCCTCAGAGTGCATATAAGTAATTTCTTTGATTTTCTAGTAAGAAAGAACCAGGGTAAGTCCTTCAGTCCATTTTTCAAAATTTATCTTAAAGTAAACATTATACAAACATGGATAAGGAAAGTCATTGTCAATTCAGAAATATTAAAGGACTAGTGATCTGTAAATGTACCTAATAAGTGATCATTCTTTCTATAAAACCAAACAAGTATTTGGAAGTTTTAAAGTTCCACAAAACTTCCTCAAGGTTTCAGAGGATATATCAGGAATATTTCTTTTTTTTTTTTTTCTGTCCAAGACTGAGACTTGAACTCAGTATCTGTCGCTTTTGCTCATTAGCTGGTGCTCTACCACCTGAACCATGCCTTCACCCCCCAGACTATCAAGACTATATGCACATTCCTAACTGTTCTCCTACCAGCATTACATTGAATTTCAAGTTCATTCCTTATCTAGAGAACCTTAATCTTTTATTCATATTTGGACAACACATAAACTCAAATCATTTGCTAAACTCAAGTAATCATACTAAAACATCTTCTTGGTTTTCACTTTTGAATTAAGTTCTACAGCACTCCCCAAAGTAAACAAAGCATAAGGAATTAATACAGTGGTAATTTAAAAAGTTCCACCTATTTCATTCATTTATTCTAAGAGTTCAGTTGGTGCCGGGGTATGGCTCAGTGTTAGTGATTGCCTACCATGTGCAAGGCTCTTGGTTAGATCCCTGAAATGCAAAATAAATAATAGTATGACTGTGCCACATCTGTAATTATCACATTGAAACAATTGTAAGTGAGCAAACATACCAGGGCCCCTTCAAGACAAGTAGCATAATGATATCCTCGTCCCATTATCAGGACTGACTTCTGATGATATAGTTCTGTAGCCAGTTTCTGAATTTCATCATCCATGCTCAGCACTTCCTTAATCAAATCTGTTAAGAAGTGAATATTAGAGCTGAATTGTACTCATAAACTGACATGTAGAATTGAAACCATTTGTACAACTAAAGATTATTTTAAAAGAAAATAAATATTAACAAAATGTATAAAAAATGGACCACAAACTGAACAGCAGTAACATACAGCAGCAACCAACAAAAGATCAGTATTTCTATCCTTACATGGTATCAGTATAGGAATTTTTTAGCACATGGAAACAGAAGCAAAAAACGTACTAAGTAGCTACAACGCACATCTTTAAGAAGAAGAGAATCTCATTCACCATTCACTCCTTCAGAAAACAAAAGTATGTATGAGTATCTTCCTACCTGGCAGCTGTTTCAATCCAAGCATGATTTCTTTGCGTCTCTCTTGCATGGAGATCCTGTCATCGCACATCATAAGGGCAAACATCACAAGGGCAACAAACTGGCTGGTGTACGCCTGAGACATCACACATATACAAACACACAAAAATACACACACAAACAAACAAGCAAAAGCAGAAAAATAACTTGGAAACTTTAATCTTTAAAAAAAGAAAATATAATCCCACTACTTTGACACTTTACACTGTCTTTCAAAGCAACACTAGAAACTGCTAAATGACCCAGTATTTGGAAAACTACCACCGTTCTCCTTTTCTTAATCATGAGCAAATGACTTAGCATTTATTTCTGATACAAAAGCAAAACCCCTTTTAATGCACTGGATGCTTGTGAGATCCCTAACACTGCTAACGCAGGACAGAAAAGAAACATGCAAAGGAAGGAGAGAAGCCAAGGAATCTGCAAATGCTTGAGGAGATGAAGACTTTCCAGCAGGTGGAAGACTAAGGCTTCAGAGACTATGCCAGGGGTACCTGGCACTGGTACTGTTGAATTCCTTTCCATTGTTCAGTTTTTTTTACTTTTACCTATGCCTGTTCCTCATTCACATTTTTTACAACAAAAAGTTTAGCTAACAATAAAATCAGAAAGTTTAACTGTAGGAAAGTAACAAGAAATGAAAATAACCTCTAACCCTATTAATAGGAATAATTACATTAACAGCATATTATGAATGGCATGTGTGCCCTCCAGTTAAGAGCACAAGCAACGAGACTGTCATTAGAAGTAATCAAGATTACTGCGTGCTCACTCCTGTAATCCTAGCTGATACTCCGGAGGCTGAGATCTGAGGACTGCGGTTCAAAGCCAGCCCAAGCAGGAAAGTCCATGAGACTATTATCTCCAATAAACCACCAGAGAACCAGAAGTAGCTCTATGGCTCAAGTGGTAGAGTGCTCGCCTTGAGCTGAAGAGCTGAGGGACAACGCCCAGGCCCAGAGTTCAAGCCCATGACTGACCCCCCAAAAAAAGTAATCAAGACACATATAAGTCCTTTGCCCCATACTTACAGACTGAAACTATATTTTATTGGCAGAAGCTTAAACTAAAAGTCATTTTCTTTCCTATGCAAAGTATTGTGACTATTTTAAAAGGTGTAGTCATAATGCCTAGACCACTTTCATTCTTATTAGCTGTATGCAAATGTGAGATGTACCTGTACCTGTTTTGCCACATGCTGCAATTAACTCAGAATTTTGTTTTTAAATAAATGTATACCATTTTGACTGCTGGACAATAGAAGTAGACAGGAATTCCCTATGTTACTTCAAGGAGTCTCAAACACAAATGTTCTTCCCACTTCAGTCTACCAAATAGTTGAGACTACAGGTGTGAACTCCCATGTCCAACTACACTATGCAAAGCTCAAATCCAAAATATTAAGATTTTGTGTGGTTTAGTCACTTATGTTTTTTCTTTTGAGAATTAATTTTGTTGTTCTTTACCTACTTTTCAATTTAGGTTTTGTTTGTATTTTTGTTTTATTCTGAGACAGGTTCTCACTGTATAATCCAGGCTGCCTCAAACTCTCAGTCTTCTGACCTCTACCATCCAAGTATTGAAAGTTTCCAGGGATGATGAGGTTCAAGAGCAATGACATAAGCTGCTCTCTTCACTCAAGGGACTATAAGTAGACAGACTGTCCTTTAGGTCTGCAATTGGGAAGCCTGCAGCTCTGCTGTTAGGGAGCTTTCTGAACACTGGTTGACTGGTGTTCTCTTTTCTACTTTGGACTGTATCATATCTTTCTACTAATGTGCTTATTGATGTACACATTTTTGTGTTTTTACAGTTAATCAGGAACTTCTTCTAATAACCAAGAAAACCAAGAGATAGAAGAACCCTAATAACTGATAACATAGACAGAAATTCACTTAAAGAAACTTACATCAGCTAAGCACTAATGGCTTGTGCCTACAATCTTAGCTACTCAGGAGAGTAAGCTCTAGAGGATCCAATTTTGTAACTGGCTGGGGCATATTTGTTAGATATTACAACTCCAAAAAAACTAGTAAGAAGAGAGCTAAGTGCATGGTTCAATGATAGAGCAATAGCCTAACAAACATTAGACCAGGGGTCAAGCCCCAGTATCTCCACAGGAGGAACAGGAAAAGCAGGAGAAGCAGAGAAGCTATAAACCATTTAGAATATTCTGAGGTCGGAAACCATTTAACCAGGAAAATGTTAACTGAACTTTTAAACTCAGTTTTCTTTTGATCCAGCCAAAAACAAAGTTAGATGAGTTTATTTTTTTAAATCAACTTACATCGGTGGTAAAATTTTAAGCACCTGCAATAACATAAAAAACTCTTGAGCCTGCACATTTGTACCCATCAATTATCAACTTATTTATGGTCTGATATTTTTTTTTTTTTTTTGGGTCCGGTCGTGGGGCCTGAACTCTGGGCCTGGGCGCTGTCCCTCAGCTCTTTAGCTCAAGGCTAGCGCTCTACCACTTGAGCCACCCAGCACCACTTCCGGCTTTTTTCTTATGTGGTGCTGAGGAATCGAACCCAGGGCCTCAAGCATGCAAGGCAAGTGCTCTACCACTGAGCCACCTTCCCAGCCCTTCATGGTCTGATATTATAAAAAAGTCAGCAATATTCCTCTAATCCAAAAGTGTTTTTAAGACAAAGCTGGAAATTCCTAACAGGATTACAATTAAGTTTCAGTCCAACGATCAACTTCACAGATCACCCATTGACATATAACTTAAATTTGCCATTTATAAGTATCTATGACTAAATATCTCCAAACTCATGTTAACTAATTCCAATGTGGATTATCTAAGAAAGCAAAAAGTGAAGAAAGCTAAGGGTTTTTTTTTGTTTATTTTGCTGTAGAATTCAAGACAAATGGAAGGAAGCAGTACTAAATTGCCAAACTTACTAAAATTTTTAAGACAGTCATTTTTGAAAGAAATCAAAATGTACAAAAAGATATACATTTCCTTATATGTGATATAAGCAGACATAAATTGGAGAACAACATAAGGGATTTCTCTGTTATAGAACAGATTAATTTTTCCCCAAAGTTCTGCATGAAAGGCTTGGTCCCCAAGGTGGCACTAGCAGATGAGGAACCGTTACTAAGGCCCAGAATGAGGTCCTTTAGTCACTGCATGGTGGGGGTGGGGGGGGGGGGAGGTGGAGAAGGGGGGAGAATGCACTTGAAGGAGCTTGCACCCCCCCCCCCCCCCCGGCTCTCAGATTGTTAGTGTTTCACAACTCATAATGTAAACAGTTTGTTTCTCCACAGAATCTCACTGCCATGCGAACTGCCTAATTTTGGACCTTCCAGAACGATAACCCAAAATAAACAATTTCCCATCCTAAGTGCATTTGGTATTTTGTTATAATAATGTGCAGCTGAGTAACACAACTTACTAATTTCCTGTAAGTCCATATTTTTAAAAAAATTTTAAAGAACTTACAAAAGAAGTATTATTGATACTAACAAGATAAATGAACCTTAGAGACTTCATGCTAAAAGAAGGAAGCCAGATTCAAAAGATATGTATTATACAACCCAGTCATCTGCTGGCACCTGGTGGCTCCTAGGTATTCAGAAGGTTGAAATCTGAGGGTCACAGTTTGAAGCCAATCCCAGGAAAGTCTATGAGATTCTTATCACTAACTAACCACCAAAAAAGGCTGAAGTAGAGCTGTTGCTCAAGTGGTAGAATATTAGTATTGAGTGAAAAAGTTCAAACAGCACTGTGGCCCTTGAGTTGTCCCAGTACTGGCACCAAAAAAATTTTTTTTAATTCTAGAAAATAATACATAGTAAAAGAAAGCAGTATTTACTGAACATGAGCGCTAGTGGACAGGGTCAGAATTACTATTAAGAAGAACAAAGAACTTTGTCATATGACTCAAGTCTTCTATTATAACTAGGTTGTGGCAACAGCTACACAGTCAAATTTACTACAGCTGTACATTTAAAATCAGTGAATGTATCAGTGAATGTTATGATTTGAAACTAATTTCTCTATAAAATGTGAAAAAGGTCAGTGGTAGAATCTAGGTAATGGGTATTTAAGTATTAATGTGAATGTATTTTTTATTTTTATTTATTTAATTTTTTTTTTTTTGTCAGTTGTTGGGCTTGAACTCTGGGCCTGGGCACTATCCCTGAGCTCTTCAGCTCAAGGTGAACACTCTACCACTTGGGCCACAGTGCCACTTCTGGTTTTCTGCTGGTTAACTGGAGATAACAGTCTAATGGATTTTCCTGCTCACACTGACTCTGAACCATGATCCTCAGATCTCAGCCTCCTGAGTAGCTAGGATTACAGGCGTGAGCCACCAGCACCCAGCTTGTGAATTTAATTCTGCTGTTCACATAAAAATTATAATAAAATAACAAGGAAAATTAAAGAATTAAAAGTATGTAATCAAACAGTTCCCTTAGCAGATGAGTTCAAAAAATTTTATAAAAACAGAGTTATCTTATATCCCACATATGCCACGTTTAAGTCTTTTGTTCAAAGCTGGACTCATTTGTGTGGACATAGCGCTGAAACCCAGTCAGATGCTGCCAAAAGCAGCCAGAAGATGAAAATCCAAGCACAGATCCTTAAGAGTGCAACTGCCATGTAAAGGATAGCGTAATATCAAGATTCCCCAAAATAAAGGCTTTATTCAGTGTTTTTACATAAGGATCAGAAATTTACCACAAAATTCTTATTAGAATCTTGACAAGGAAAAAAACTATTCAAATATGCTTAGACAAATGTTAACAGCATTTTCACAAACTGTTAAATTCAAACCCAAGAATATCATTCAAAAATTTTAAAAAATTAGGTGTACGCAGAAAAACACATGAGAAACTGAAAATCTGAAATCACTAGAAGCAAAACATTTGTACTGAGATAAATCTTCTGTCATTATAAAACTTTTTTACAATTACTACATCTGAACAAGGTCAAAGACCAAGGTAGTGTCTTAGTGAGCCTTAAAAAAAAAAAAAATCAAAGCACTTTAAGCCTCCATAGATATAATAGTAAAAAGAAACAGATATTGTCGTCTAATGCTCATTTTCTTAACTGTTCTTAAAGTCTTTTCTAAATGACAATTTTTATAACTAAGGTGTATTCTTTACAAGCCTTCAAAAACAGTATAGTTATAAGAAACCAGGAATATGTAAATAAAAGTATGTTAAAAATATTTAAACTAAGTTTTTAATTTATTACTTTTTTATTTCCCAAATACTCATAACAAAAGAAAAGTATGTTTTTGTACCATGTGTCTCACTGACCCAGATAGAACTGTTAAGTGGGGATAAGAAGTCATTTCCTAAGACTTATTTCTTTTAGCAATTACAAAAAGACAGACTGATCTATATACTAGTCAGTTTTACCATATTATAATTAAGTCATCATCAGATAAAGAAGGTAAGAATTTACCTTTGTACTGGCCACACCAACCTCAGGACCAGCATTAATGTGAACTCCACAATCTGTCTCCCGTGATATTGAGCTGCCCACTGTATTCGTGATCCCCACAGTTAAAGCTCCTCTCTCCTTACAGTAACGAAGTCCCATTAGGGTATCTGCTGTCTCACCTGTGTAAAAAGTAGGACAAAAGTAACAGATGGAATAGTTTCAGCATCTGATGGTTCTTAGATACAAAAATTATCAGACTGCTTGCTTAAATAAAAAATAAAATATGTACCAAATAAATTTATAGGATCTCTTTTCCTTCCCTATCTGAAAATTCAGCTATTCCAGCATAAAAGGTATTCATTTTCACTAATTCGTAAAGAATATATTAAAGTAAATTTGTTTTTGACAATGGATCAGCAATACCAATGTATCTTTAAATACCAGTTCCTGACAAGATATGCTAAATTAAAAAAAAACAAAAACCCAACTACTTTAAAGCCAGGTACCAGTAGCTCATGCTTGTAATCCTAGCTACTCAAATAGTTCAGATCCAGAGAAACACGGTTCAAAAAGTCAGTTCGGGCAAAAAAAAGCCTGCAAGACCCCATCTCCAATTAATCAGCAAAAAGCTAGACTGCAGGCATAGTTTAAGTGATGAACCAACAGCTATAAACAAGAAAGCCAAGCAAACATGAGACACTGATTCAAACCCCAGTAGGGGTTTGGGAGGGCAAATAAGAGAGAGTGAAGAAGGTTTGATACAGTCAAAAACTTTATGTACGTCTGGGAAGGTGGCTCAGCGGTAGAGCGCTTGCCTTGCATGCATGAGGCCCTAGGTTCCATTCCTTAGCACCACATAAGCAAAAAGAAAAAAGCTGGAAGTGGCGCTGTGGCTCAAGTGGTAGAGCGTTAGCCTTGAGCTGAAGAGCTGAGGGACAGTGCCCAGGCCCAGAGTTCAGGCCCCACGACCGGACCCCCCCAAAAAAAAAATCAAAAAACTTTATGTACATCTATGAAAATGGACAATTGTTTTAAAAAGGGGGGAGCAGAAATGAGAGAATGAGATAGGAGGTTAATTTGAATTTGTATGCATGAATGGAAATATCACAACAACTCCCCCTCACCCCCCGCACAAGTAATATATGCTAATAAAATGTAAAAAAACTAAAAAACCCAACCAACAAAAATAAAAAGGAAAAGTGAAAAAATACTTTCCTTCCTTCCAAGTCTTTAAAAGAAACATACCTGACTGGCTAATGAAAAAGCAAACATCATCTCGAAAGACTGGCGTGTTTCTATCCAAGAAATCACTGGCTAGTTCCACCATCACTGGCAATTCAGTCAGCTCCTCAAGAACCTGACGTGTCTGTACAGAAGAAGTGACAAGGTTATACAATTTGCCCTCATATACTTTCTAACTGGACTTCATTGGATTCAAATGTACAGTTTTCATGTTTTCTGATTATAAAAAGGACACATGGGCTCAGATGTAGCTGAGTAGCTGAGCACACGCAAGTTTCAACCCCAGGCCTGGGGGAAAACAAGTATAACACAAATAAATTTAGAAAATACAAACAATCTAGGTTAAAGAAGAAATAAATGCTGTTAACATTGTAGTATAAGACTCCTACAACAATTATCATTATATAAGCAAATAAACTCACACATCTAATATGATACATAATATTGTGAGCCAGGTGCTGTGGCTCATGCTTAGAATCCTAGCTACTCAACAGGCTGAGATCTGAGGATCGTGGTTCAAAGCCAGCCCCGGCAGGAAAGTCCATGAGACTTTATCTCCAATTAACCACCAGAAAACCCTAAATGGAGCTGTGGCTAAAAGTGGCAGGGTACTAGCCTTGAGTAAAAAAGAGCGCAGCGACAGTGCCCAGGCATTGAGGTCAAGCCCCACAACAGCCAAAAATATTGCGAGACGTAGAAAAAGCATTGTTCCGAGTCAGGTTGTGATTTACCTCTAATTTCATAGTTTTTTATCTTTAAAGTGAAAACTATGTAACACCCAACTCCCTAAAGAATTTCAAATGAGGAAATAGACTGCACAAATATAAAATTAAACATTTTGATCAGGTATGTCAGTAGCTCACACCTATAATTCTAGCTATACAAGACACAGATCCAGAGGACCAAGATTTGAAGCAATCCCAGTCAAAAAAGTTTATATTCCCAAAGTAGTCAGCAAAAATTTAGACTATAAAGTCAGGCACTGGTGGATCATGCCTATAATCCTAGCTACCCAGGAGGTGTAATCTGACAATATTAGTTGAAGCCAGCCTGGGCAAACAAATCAAGACTCTAAGCTCCAATTAACCAGCAAAAAGCAAGGAACTAGAGGCATGGATCAAGTGATAAAGCCACTAACCATGAGAGAAAAGCCAAGCAAAAGCATAAAGCCTTGAGTTCAAGCCCCAATACCAACTCCTTCCCCCACAAAAAAACCTCTGGGCTAGAAGTATGGCTCAAGTGGTAGTACACCAGCCAAGCAAGCAAATATGTCAAGTGCAAGGCCCTGAGAGGCCCTGCATTCAATCTCTGGTAGCATAAAAAATTAATTAAACACCTTGAAAGCATGATGTATCTGTAAATACTATCAAAAAAAATCAATATATTTTAGAAAACCTGCTTTAAGTGGCTATTTGCAAACTTTGGGGTAATGAAGTAGCATGTGGAATGAGACAGAGGAGAAGTATGCTTCTGCTTAGAGGGCACCTTAACATTCCTTTTACTAAGTTTTAGTTCTAATTAAATTTCTCCTACCCTAAACATCAGAAAATTACAAACAAAAAATAAGCTTCCAGGCACCAAAACCTTTAAGTCCTACAGATGTATAGTGTTGCTTTAACACTAATGCTAGAGATCCCAATCCCAATACCAGCCTCTTTGAACCAGCCATGTCACCTCTCTTGCCTCACACTTCAATGAAAATTGTAAAAGTGTCCGTACTTCATAGCCCATGAACTTTTGCTTGCCCACAAGCTAAAAAAAAGTTTGTGTTTGATTCTCCAACAGCTATGATTGGGCACTTGTTAGCAATATTCTAACAGCATGGACAGAAAGTCTTATAAAATGAAATGTTTCTACTTTTATTTACCCCTTTCCATATTTACTTAATAACTGTACATAAAGAAGTCACTGACAATGAAATGCTAAGGATTTCCCTCAAATAAATGCAATCTATTACAAACTTTGTAACCAATTACATTAAAATTACATTCCTTAAAAAAAAAAAGACACAACTCTGACAACCTACCAGATCCTTTTGTATTTTAAAATAACATACCCCAACAAAAGGGGGAGGTAGGCAACAATAAAGGAAGGGGTAAATGATCAAGATGTATGAATAGGCATGTCAAAACAATGAGCCCCCCTGTATAACCAAGTAAAGCTTTTAAGAAAGTTAGAGCGCTTGCCTTGTATGCATGAGGCCCTGAGTTCGATTCCTCAGCACCACATAAGCAAAAAGAAAAAAGCCGGAAGTGGCGCTGGGGCTCAAGTGGTAGAGTGCTAGCCTTAAGCTGAAGAGCTGAGGGACAGCGCCCAGGCCCAGAGTTCAGGCCCCACGACCTGACCCCAAAAAAAAAAAACAAAAACAGCTAATCTGGGCTGGGAAGGTGGCTCAGTGGTAGAGTGCTTGCCTTGTATGCATGAGGTCCTGGGTTCAATTCCTCAGCACCATATAAGCAGAAAAAGCCGGAAGTGGTGCTGTGGCTCAAGTGGTAGAGTGCTAGCCTTAAGCTGAAGAGCTGAGGGACAGCACCCAGGCCCAGAGTTCAAGCCCCATGACCAATAACAACAAAAAAAACCCAGCTAGTCTACACTCTCCAGCTAGTCTACACTAAAGAGTTTGTTGTGGGAGGAAGCAATTCTTTATAAACAGAATGATGTATTCTTACCATAAGAGAATAACAATGTTACAAATGTACTATGCAACTGTTAAACTAAGAGATTATTAAAATCTTGAGAAGCATGCTATAATCCAAATGCTTTGACTGTAGTCAGTTTTTATTTTTTAGTATACACAGAGTATGTGAAAAGAAGTTATACTACATGTCATTCACATATAAACACATTCATTCGCAGTTAAACACATACCAAAAAACACCAATTAAACAGAACTGGAGTAATAGCACTACTTTGTATGATAAAATGACTAAAAGAATTTCTAATCCTTGTCCATTATAATAATTTTGGCACCCACAAAACAAAACAAAAACTGTATCATGTCACATTTAAAGACAATGGACAAAATGGCCAATTTTTTTTTTTTTTTTGGGGTCCGGTCGTGGGGCCTGAACTCTGGGCCTGGGTGATGTCCCTCAGCTCTTTTAGCTCAAGGCTAGCGCTCTACCACTTGAGCCACAGCGCCACTTCCGGCTTTTTTCTTTTTGCTTATGTGGTGCTGGGGAATCGAACCCAGGGCCTCATGCATGCAAGGCAAGCGCTCTACCACTGAGCCACCTCCCCAGCCCCTGAAATGGCAAATTCTAACACAACATATAATTTAGACCCCAAAATTAAGGCTTATCGTTAAATGAAGCATTTAATCAATTTTTTTTTTTTATTTCTAGCTTGGCACTAATGCCTCACACCTATAATCCTAGCTATTCAGAAGGCAGAAATCTGAGGATTATTCAAAGCCAGCACAAAGTCTGGAAGACTCTTAACCTCCAACTAACCAGCAAAAAGACAGAAGAAGTGGAATGTGGAATGTGGCTCATGTGGGAGAGCACCAGCCATGAGTGAAAAAGCTGAGAAGCATGTGGCTCTGAGTTCGAACCCCAGTACTGGGTGGGGGAGGGGGAAAAGGGGAAATATACATATATGTGTGTGTAATATATATATATAATATATATTATTAATATATATATGATATATATAAATATATCATATATATATATTACACACACACATATATGTATATGAGACAATGCACCAGTGAATTAGTTCAGGTCTTCTTTAATTTTCACTAGTGTCTTTAGCTTACTCTCCTTCATCTTCTTAGACCTCTTCCTTTCAACATTGCATAGTCTTTCCTTTTAGGACCATGTAATATTTGGAGGAAGAGGCTTTAGAGATTTAAAAAAAAAAAAAAAAAAGCTTGCTTTGCAATGGCTAGTGATCAGACACCTTCATATACTCATTAAATGATTGGTTCCCATAGTGTAAGATACAAGTATGTATATTTCATCAAATAAAATTATTGCTAGGTGCCAGTGGCTTATGCCTATAATCCTAGCTACTCAGAAGGCTGAGATTTGAGGATCATGGTTCAAAGCCAGCCTGGGCAAGGAAAGTCCATGAAACTCTTATCTCCAATTAAGAAAACCTAAAGTGGGGTTGGGAAGGTGGCTCAGTGGTAGAGCGCTTGCCTTCCATGCATGAGGCCCTGGGTTCAATTCCTCAGCACCACATAAGCAAAAAGAAAAAAGCCGGAAGTGGCTAGCGCTCTTGAGCTGAAGAGCTGAGGGACAGCACCCAGGCCCAGAGTTCAGGCCCCATGACCGGACTCAAAAAAAAAAACCTAAAGTGGTGGCACTGTGACTCAAGTGGTAGAGCACTTGCTTTGAGCTGAAGAGCTCAGGGACAGCACCCCAGCCCAGAGTTCAAGTCCCACTACTGACCAAAAAAAAAAATTATTGTCATAAACTTTGGAAATCAATTCTAAAGGCAGAAACTGAAAGGGTCATTTGTATATCAGCAACACGTAATATGTTTGTTTATAAAGAAACTACATGTGGAGCTGGTTTGCTTGTCTAAAAGGACGTTCAGCTCTATAATTTCTACAATGTCAACTAGAAAATTGAGATCTGAGGATTATGGTGCAAAGTCACAAAGACAGGAAAGTCCGTAACATTCTTATCTCCAATTAGAGCAAAAATACCAGAAGTTGAAATGAGGCTCAAGAGGTAAAGTGCCAGGCTTGTGCTAAGTGACAGTACCCAAGCCCTGAATTCAAGCCCCAATACTGGCACAAAAAGAATCAAAGCAACACAAAAGACCCAGTGACTACTCTAATAAAAGTAGGTATGCTCCCTAGGCTATTATTCTAGACAGAAGACTTCCCTCTCAGTCTTTTCATGAAATCAGGTGCACAATTTATCTGTGAGTGTAAAGACCTTCTAATTTGATAAATAATCCAAGCAGCTATGAAAAGCCCCTCTATCTATATGGTGTCTGCCATGGAAAAATAAAAATATAGGTATACTCTGATACCTGACATAACATAATGTAAATATTAAAAGGTCACTTACTGCTACACCAGCATGGTAACTTGTTCCACAAGCAATAAGAATCAAACGCCGACACCTCTGGATCTCCTTAATGTGATCCTTTAAACCACCCAAATTCACTGAAATAAAAGTTTGTGTACATCATTATTTAGAAAAGAACCATGTAAAACAAGCACTCACTGATTTTGAGTGTCCATTGTCAATATGAGAAATAACTCTACTGCTTTAAACAATTCATAGTCCTTTTAGGAAGCATGGTGCTTCACAGATATGAAAAGTAGGGTAAATTTATAGATCACAACTTAAAACTTAATTAGCACCTACAAAACTTATACTCATCTTATTCAAATTCTGAATTTATTTGGGTTTTTGTTTTGTTTTGTTTTTGGTGCCCATCCTGGGGCTTGAACTCAGGGCCTGGGCACAGTCCCTGAAGATCCTTTGCTCAAGGCTAACACTCTTGAGCCGCTGCTCCACTTCCACTATGGAGGTAGTCTCATAGATTTTGCTGCCCGTGATGAGTTTGAACCTGGAGCCTCAGATCTCAGCCTCCTTAGTAGCTAGGATTACAGGCATGAACCACTAAAGTCTGGCCCTTTTTAATTCTTTTTTAGCCATTTTTACATTCCTCTCTTTACATTAAGTTATCTTAAAAACCAAATTCTAGAAACACAAATCAGTAGATGTTGAAGGCTGTAGTTGTAGAATGGGTACAGGAAATTCTAATGAAATGGAACTATTCTGTATCTTGAACTTAGTTGAGGTGAAGAAAATGACTATGTTTCAGAGGCTTGTCAAAACTCACAATTTTATCAAGAGGTTGTGGCAAGGGAAACCATTTAAAACCTGACCAACATAGCAAGATTCCACTTCAAAACAAAAAAAAAGTAAAACAGAATTTTACAATAAGAATGTAATAGTATTTCTAGTTACATTTCAGCAAACTCATCTGAAAAAAAAAGATTATCTTCATTACATTTATTATCCTCACTTCTCAAGGTGACTCAGAATAAAAGACTAGAGGAAATGCCATTATTAGAGGAAATGGCATTGAAGAGGTAACCAAGAAACACAGAGAGGGTAAGTCACTGCGATTAAGTGGCCACCTATTTCTCAAAGTGGATGATGAGGGTTGGGATAATTCTACAAGGTCTAAAATAGGGTCTTACTTAGCTCAAGTGGGCCTTCAACTCATCATCCTCCCTGCCTTCCAAGTGCTGGGATTTCAGGTAGGTACTAGCACACCCCAAAGTTTGTTTCTTTTTCCTAACATCTATTTCTCTGACCTTAATTTCACAAATACTGTAAGTGATCTTTACCACTATTTCCCACTGTTGCTTCCCTTAACCATTTTCACCAACCCCTCCCCAATACTGGGAGAGTCCTGGCTTATACTGCTCCTGTTTCTCTCCTGGTCACTACCTCCTTCTCATTTCACTGTACCCCAGACAGAACAACTTCCCAACTGAAAACTGTAACTTGACCACTCACTGCTGACTAGTATACAGCTCACTTAAGTACAGTTAGGGTCAGACCTGACTCCTATGCCATTGAAAGCTTTTCAGTTTCTGTAAAAGGAAATATCCTCATCTAATCCCTAACTAAGGATAGATTCAAGGCCTCCACCGCAGTTTCTCTCACCTTCTTTCCTAGACTTAATTTATTTTCATTCTTCTTCAAGTAAAAGATCTATGTGGCAGACAAAGTTGATTATAAATTATTCCTGCAGGATACCTATGACTCATGCCTGTAATCCTAGCTGATCCAAAGGATGAGATCTAAGACGGAAGTGGCGCTGTAGCTCAAGTGGTAGAGCGCTCACCTTGAGCTGAAGAGCTGAGGGACAGCGCCCAGGCCCAGAGTTCAAGCCCCACAACCGACCAAAAAAAAAAATGAAGGAATGGCATAAGGATGAGATCTAAGAATCACAGTTCAGAGGCCAGCCTGTGCAGATAAATCTGAGAGACTCTCATCTCCAATTAATTAGCAAACAGCTAGAAGGGGAGTGTAGCTCAAGTGGAGAAAGCAAGATGTGAGCAACAAGAGCATAGATATCTGAGTTCAAGTCCCAATATTAGCATAAAAATAAACAAATAAGAAAATAAACCCGGGCTGGGAAGGTGGCTCAGTGGTAGAGCGCTTGCCTTGCATGCTCGAGGCCCTGGGTTCGATTCTTCAGCACCACATAAGCAAAAAGAAAAAAGCCGGAAGTGGTGCTATGGCTCAAGTGGTAGAGCGCTAGCCTTGAGCTGAAGAGCTGAGGGACAGCACCCAAGCCCAGAGTTCAGGCCCCATGACTGGACCCAAAAAAAAAAAAAAGAAAAGAAACCCATAAACAGCTATCTAATAGTTTATTATTTCCCTTTAGCTAATCCTCTTTTAGTGAGATGGATGTTCCCATCTGTTCTTCACCTGCTTAAGCCTTCCCAATCCTTCAGAACTCACACTTTCTTATTTATGAGTCCTCCATTCACTTCAAACCCCCTCCAGACTCATTCTTCACTTTTCCTTAATTCAGCACTAAACTTTCAACATCAAAATGTGTGCCATATGCTATACTTTACCTTTTTTATATAGCTAACTGTCCTTTTAGATTATTAAAACCTCAAGGGAAAAACTATATCAGACATTACTTTGCTATGGTTCACTTCTATGAGTTCTTTAATCTCCTTTGACACATGGTCTAGACAGAATTTTGATAAACAAGACTAGAGTTGCACCTTAAACATGGAGGAGGGTATAGGTTACTTCACATGGTGTCAGAAGCACATGAAAAATCTCTGGTAAAGTTTACACCTTTGCTTATTTATGAAGAACAAGCTAGACTAGAAAGACACCCCCCCCCAAGCCTCTCAGTTCTCCTAGAATTTACCATGTCTAGGAAAGAGTCAAAAACTGCCTCTGACAGAAACAGTAGGTGCATAAACATAGAATTTACCATTTTAACTATTTTAAGCACACAATCCAGTGGCATTAGGTACATTCAGATTGTTGGGCATCTATCACCACTACCTATCTCCACAACTTTTTCATCATCCCAAGTTGAAACTGTACTCATTAAATGCTAACATTTCATCTCACTTCACTTAAGCACCTAGTAACCATTAGGCTATTTACTATCTAACTAGAATCTGAGTTTCCTAGATACTTTCTGAAAGTAGAATTATATACTATATATATAGTAGGCTCTACTAATGGCTAAGTCGCCATAAGAGATCCTGAAATAAAAATAAATCGTATGTTATTACCTGTGTAGTCATCAAAGTTAACTCTTCCTCTCATTGTGTTCACAACAGATTCTGGTTGTTCAAATATTTCCTTCTGCATAAATGAACTAAAATTTCCTACAATGAAAAAATCATTAAAATTAAAAGTAATATATTAAAGGATAAAAAATTACACACTAGCTCCTTTAACATAATCTTGATAAACTGAATAAGGCAAAATATCATATGATAGAAAACAATATTCCTGTTTGAGTATCTACAGGACTGGATGGATATGCCTCACTCTTGTGAGAAAACAGCAACTGGGGCAGAGCCACTAAATAAATTCATAGCTAACTAAAACATAATACAGTTAGAGCAAAACAGGAATAAGTCAAGAGTTTTTGAGTCAGGTCTAGGTTAAAAATCATGGTATTATCCTTCACTATCCCAACTGGGGAAATTCCTTTCTCTGCAAAAACAAGCAATTAATTACTTCACAGTGTGGGCTGTAGTACGGATTAATATAGAAAAAACTTCACATGTGGTAGTTTTACAAGAATGTTATTCCTACCACAACCGAGTCAGAAAGTAGAAAAAAAATTATAGTAATCACATCAGTTAATAACAGCCAACATTATGAAAGGGGGCATGAAGTTTGCAAGGTACTATGCTAAGGGCACAGTACTCAACAGTTATCTTAATGCTTAAAACACACTTAAAACATTCTTAATGATTGATTTTAGTATCCCCACAGTATATATGACAAATAGAATAGGGAATAGAAGAAAAATAGAAGAAAAAGCAACATAATATGAAACTTACAAGTTATCTATAAAACATCAGATTCTATTAAGATAATCTCCTTTTTTACGTCAAAAACAACAGATCAGGCATTAGAATAAAGAATTACTCTAAGACCAAGAGGTATGTTCTCCAAAGAACCATCCCTTTTTCTGGGGCTACCCCTTCATCAGTTCAAGAGATTCCACCTAGCATTATTAGGTTCAATGGCAGGACAGGAAATAGAATGTCTCCTGCCTCTAAGGACACCAAGCTAGGACATAACAAGAACTATCACCCTTCATGATCTGCTGGAGTTCCATCTGGAGGGTCTGCACAGCTCGTCCAGGGTGATCTCCTGCAGTTCGTTTAATTCGATGGATAGAAAGACGGCCATCTACCACTGCTGCGACATCATCATCTTCTAGAAAGATGACACGGTTGGTGTGTTCTATGACAGCACTATAATATTCAACAAGAGATTACAATCAATAACCAAGATTGTTATCACAAGTGGATCTGTCATTAGGACAAGAGGATCAAATAAAAATACATACTATCATCTGCAATACCTCTACTAAACTTTCTGGTTACCAAAATGTCATCACATATGGAACACTGATGGGGAGGTGGTCCCTGAGAACAAAAAAATAAAAGGATCTCTGTGCAAAAAATCTAACAAAATTAGATTAGGTCAGGAGACATGGCCATTTCTGTCTCATTCTACTTATCAACAAATGCTGTAATTTTAATCCTGAAATATATCTTAAAGCTTTCTTCTTTGTCCACTGACACATACCGATACAAGCTGCTTTTATCAACTCTGTGGCTGATTAACTCAGCATCCTCCTAACTACTCATGTTCTCCCTTATTTCCCTCCACCCCTTCTTATTGTCTGCCAAAATCCCTACCAAAAGGCATACTAAGCAAGATGTTTCTCTAAACCAACAAACTACTTGGTACCTCTTTGGCTCTGAGGAAAACATCCATGCCCCACCAAATATCATCTCCCTGTGAGTTCTAGCCACTTATCTCTCTCCTTAACTGTAACAGGACAAATCATGTTCTGAGAATGTTCTGTCTACTGCTTAATCTAATTACTTCTTAATCTCCTCTAACTCTCAGTTCAAGCTTCAGTCCTTTTAAAAAAAAAAACCTATGTACCGGGGATAAATAAACCTCTAATAAGCATTTTGTAGCTCTTGTCATAGTGAGAATTCTATAATTATGTAAGTGTTTAAAATCTGTCTTCTCTATTGTGGAAGAACTCCATAAAGTCAAAGGTATTTTTATTTCTTACAGTTATGCCTGAGGCTAGCATATGGCTTTGCTCAGAGTATTCACTATGAATGTAAGAATGAATGAAAAAAGGCTGATAAGCTTCAGCAATTTCCAGTTATTTAAGCTATAACTATAAACTTAGTTAATGACAGCAGTGACACATATTAATGCTGATTACACATCTTACATATCTGCAACACTTGGAAACCAGCAAAGCTCATTTTCCCTCTGAGAGAATACATTCCTTTCTTGTCTGAAATGGTATCTTTTGATCATTTTTTTATTACTTCCTCTTATTTTCAGGTACAGTAAATGAAACAATACCTATTGGTAATTCAAGCAATCCCAATTTATCTTCATTTCTATAGTATTTCATCTATAAGTGCACCTAAACATTCTACCTTATTTTCTTTCAAAATGTCTTAGTCTAGTACTGTTTCTTTAAAGACTTATGCTATAAGTTCATTCTAAATGTAAAAGACAAGAATCCATATTACACTAAAACTACAGTGGTTCAACAACTGTAATGGAATTGATGAGATACCAATTAAGGTATTCTCCAATCCTCCTCCCTACAAAACCTGGATAATCTTCCTGAAGAAACAACACCCTGAAGCAAATGTGTTGGAACAAGTCTCCTACCTCTTTCTCACATAGTTGGGATTACAGACAAGTACCACTTCACTCAGATTGTTCTTTAAGATTGACTCTTAATGACTTTTGCCAAACCAGCCTTGAGCTACAATCCTCCCTTCTCCACCTCCCATAAATACAAGATCACAGGCCACTATACTTGACTACCTCTACTCTTAAGAAAATTCTAACTGAGCACTAGTGACACACCTATAATCCTGGTTATTCCGGAGGCTGAAATCTGAAGATTACAGTTAGAGCCAGCCCAGGCAGAAGATTCCATGAGACTCTTGTCTCAAAATAACCACTCAAACCCAAAAATAGAGGTACAGCTCAAATGGTAGAGCATTAATTAGCATTGAGCAAAAGGGCTCAGGGATAGTGCCCAGGGCCTGAGATCAAGCCCTACAACCAGCACAATAAAAAGAAGAAGATACTCAGGGTTGATGTATGGCCGAGTAGCAGAGTACTTCTAACATAGAGAGTATATCCTCAGCACAGAGAGAGAAAGAGAAAGAGAGAGAGAGAGAGAGAGAGAAAGAGAGAGAACAAGAGAGAGAAAGAGAGCAAGAGAGAGTGAGAGAGAGCGAGAAAGAGCAAGTGAGAGAGAACGGGGGGCCGGGGGAAGGATTGAAAGAATTCTCTTATACAGTATGACTAGATTTATACAAAATGACTTCTCAATTTCTTGCAGCATGAGAAGTTTTACTAAAAATTCTCTTTAAATCAATTACAGAAGCTAACCTTGCATCAGAAGCAAAATAATATTCTACTGCTTTTTCTTCAACAGGGAAAAGACAAGTTGTACTGTCCACACGAGGCAGATTGCAACTTCCTTTCTTGTCTTTGCCTAGAGCATAAAATTAACTTGAGTCAAAAAACATGTAAAAATGATGGCCAATATAGAAAATATATATAAATCAACTAAAGTAATTTTTAAAACCCATAGCAACACAAAAGAATTTTAAGTGCTAGGTAGATCATCTTTCTTTCCATGCAAAACAACAGTGAAAAACAAAAAGTATAGGGTGAAATAGCAACTATTAAAAATGCAGAGCAAAGCTGGGTGTTGGTGCCTCATACCTGTAATCCTAGCTACTCTCGGAGGCTGAAATATGACAATCACAATTTGAAGCCAGCTTGGGCAGGAAAGTCCAGGAAATTCTTATCTCCAAATAACCACAAAAAAAGCCACAAGTGGAAGGGTGGCTCAAGTGGTAAAGCATGTCTTGAGCCAAAAAAGCTAAGGGACAGCACCCCAACTATCCTGAGTTCAAGCCCCAGTACCAGCACAAGAAGAAAAAATACACATAGTGCATATAACAGTGCTACATTATAAACATTTCACTGTAATATTCTCAGCCATGTAAAAGTTTTATTCTTTATCATTAACTTTTAAAACTGGAAAGTATATACTAATTTTAATGGAATGTTACATCAAGCTTTCTGAACTTAATACATATAAGTTAATATGCCTATACTTATCACAGGAATTACATTAAAAATATTAAAATTACAACTGTGCAGTGGAAAATAAAATGTGTATGCTGTTACCAGAGCTTGAACTCAGGGCTTTTCACTTGTCTTTCTTCCATATGGTTCAAGCTGTTTTACTTTCCTGTGTAATTATGTTAATAAAATGGCTCAGAGTTTGTATAGCTAAAAGACTTATTTTAAAAACTAACATGTCTAGGGATACAGGTCAGAGATAGAGCATTTACCTCGCATGTGTAAGGCTCTGGGTTTAATTCCCAGTTACACGAGTAAATATAGAAATAAACTAACTTCAAACATGAACAGTAAAAAAGAACTCCAAATAATGCCAATCAAAATATCAAATGTAAGTGTAAAAGTAAAATATCATGCATAATGACCATGTAAGTGCATTTCAATTAAAAGCTCGGCTAAGTTATTCAAGTAACTAACAGTGAACTGAGTGAACAATACTCTTCCCTTATTCTAAGCATGTAACCTGCATGACTATTTTTGAAACTGAAAAAAAAATGTACAATTTCAACTATTTCCTCAAATATTAGATTTTAATAAAATGAATTACAAAAAGCAGTTTTCTAAATGGGGAAAGCAAACAGACAAAATATAATACTGCAAATTAGAAAAATAAATTGTCAAAATATATTTTCCCATAAAATAAGCAGTTTTAGAGGCTCGGCACATTCATTCACTCCAAAAACAAAGAATTAGTAAAGAATGAACAAAAGAGGGTAAGATTCCTCTCCATCCATGCAATTCCCACCTCTTTCTCCCTGTGATCCCCACCGTGTGAATTTTGATCCAATCTGAGTCCTAGCTAAGGATATACAACAGAAAAAAAAAAAAAACTACTTGTCAGAGAACTCACAAAACAAACCTTTTTCATGTTTATATGTGTGTTTGTGTATGTGCTATATACATATACATGTATACAACCAAAAAGTATTTGTTCTCACTTAAGGAAGGTAATTCTTACAGCTACAACATTCAATTTCTACATTTCCCACAAGCATGAGATAAGAGCGGTTTACCTGTCCTATAGAGTATTGGAATGTGATCAGTAGAAAGCTTGTGTTCACTCCGCACACCAATCAATAAGGGGCTACCTCGCCTACAAGAGCAAGATGAATCACAATTAACCATTTTTACAAAGAATGCACTAGCAACTTAAAATTTAAACAGTTAAATGTGAAATTTAATACTCAAATTATGTTTTAATTTTTCCTCCAAACTCAACGTTAATTAACAAAATAACTAGGCTGGCAGATCTATATACCATGCTTGTCTGTTTTCGAACAGCTTTCATTATTCTTTCTCAACTGATAAAATTTAAATTGTATTTGGCTCAAGCAGTAGAGCACTCGCCTTGAGCTGAAGAGCACAGGGACAGTGCCCAGGCCCCGAGTTCAAACCCCATGACCAACAAAAAAAAAAAAATTAAATAGTATTACATAAAGTTTTACTGAAACATATCCGGTTGCATTCTTTCACATTAGGAGAGCAAGTAGTAACTAAGAGGCTATGTGGCTCAGAGAGCCTAAAATTTTCAATATTCAACCAATACTCCCCAAAAAACCTGCCAACTTCCATTTTAGAATCTTGTTCTCTCTTTTAAGATAAAAATGAAACTTTTTCCAATTGTATAACTGTCAGCATAAATGAACGCATGGCACTTTCTCCTAAATCACCTTTGCCTTCAGATTAAAAGCATCTTTCTCCCCAAATCTTCAAGTGCCTCACTTTATCATCAGTCTAAATGTCTTAGCAAAAGTAATCATGGTACTACTAGCTAGGAATCTGTCTGGAATGTTTCAAAAATATTAAGAAAGCTAATGCTTCGGACTTGAAACTGGAAAATTTTCAATATCTATATTCACAAAGTTACACAGTTCTCCCACAGAAGGCCAATCTTAAATGCCAAAATATATTTGCTTTATTAAGGGATCCTGTTAAAAGTGGCATCACAATAAACAAAAGTAGTATGTGGAAATAAATATACTTTGTAGGAACACTAAAGCCAAGCTGTGAGACCAGGAAAGGGATAAGAGGCTGGAATGCTGCCTCATCAGTACTCAGAAGACTGAGAACTGGACCCTGGAAAAGTTACGAAAGACAAGGCAAAATAAAGGTGTAAATTACTATCAACTGGAACCTCTGATGTCTAAGTCACAGTTGAATGGACCTTATGTTTAAGTTAGAGTTGATTGGATCCTATGAAGGTTCAGACAATGTATGTTTATATTAGTTATGGATTTCGAAAATGTTTGCTGCTTCCCTCTGCTCCCTAACAATAGGGAGTAAATTATTACTATATACACAAAATATGTCTCATGTTAATGCCTGGAATCACAAGATAAATTGATACCTTCTTTTCTGAATGTACCTATAGTAACCTTCCCTGTACTAGTGAACTAAATAAATAGGCTTGCTTACAGGAGCTCAGTGTTCAAGAGCTGGTGAGCCTTTATAACCCTTGGTCCCCAATTGTTTAATTTTTCGCTCCAGTATCCTATCATGTTGTCCTGGATTATGGAGAGCAACAATACTCATACAAATGTATCTAAGAAAGGGCAGGGCCAGTAAATCCAGTAAAGGATTTGTCCCAAAATACATATAAGAATTCATTCTTAATAGATTTATATGTACCTTGTGCCAACTGCTTGCCCAGGAAAATGAACACTTTTAAATACTAGTGCAAAAGCACCTTCCTATGGAGGCAAAAAAGCAAATAAAAAAGAATTAGCAATACTTAGCATAATCAATTATCAGAAATGAAATGCTGAAAATATACTGGCTTTAGCATAGGAATTTATTGTTCACACAAGTGCTTTTCTTCATTAGTTCATAAACACATTTAAATTATACCTAGACAGCCAGGCACTAGTGTAATCCTAGCTACTTAGGAGGCTGAGACTTGAGGAGCATGGTTCAAAGTGAGCCCAGGCAGGAAAGTCTGTGAGACTCTTATCTACAATTAATTGCCAAAAAGCCTGAAGTAGAGCTGTGGCTCAAGTGGGAGAGGGCTAGCCTTGAGCAAAAAAGCTCAGGGGTAGCAATCAGACACCCTGAGTTCAAACCCCAGGACCAGTAGAAAAGAAAAATTTACCGAGACATTCCTGAGATGTGGCACAGAAAAGACCAGCTTCTGTCACCAGGCTCACTTTCAAAGTATGCTTAACAGTTAATAGCTCAAAAAATCGATCAGTTGAAAATTCGCCTTTGTATATGCTACCAAAATTTCTCAATAGATACACCATCTCTCATAATATAAGTTCAGTAGGAAGACAGAATTAAAGTTAAACATCCAAAGTTAAACATCCAAAATCCATATTCTGGTCTAGTAATTATTCATCACATTACCTTCCTTTTTTTTTTTTGTACCAGTCCTGGAGCCTGAACTTAGGGTCTGTGCACTGTCTCTGATCTCCTTTTGCTCAAGGCTAGCACTCTACCATTTGAGCCACAGCTCCACTTTTGGCTTTTTTGGGGGGTGGGGGACAGGGAGTAGTTTTGGAGGTAAGAGTCTCATAGATTTTCCTGCCTGGGCTGGCTTCAAACTGTGATCCTCAGACCTCAGCCTCCTGAGTAGCTAGGATTATAGGCATGAGCCACCAGCACCTAGATCCTCCCATTCTTTTTGACCTCAAGATTAAAGACATAAATACACATCCCTCACAATGATTAACAATCATCCCACCCTATCAATCAGCCTCCTCAGGGATAATAGTATCTAAAAAGAAGGAAGGAAGGAAGAACATGAGGAGGAGAGCAAAGAACCACTACAGAATAAAGTAGACTTCACAGGGAACAGGAATAGGAATAGGAGTGGAATAGAAAGGCATGCAAATCTGCCTTGTGTAAAAGAAAAAACAGATCTATTCTGTTTTCCTAACTCCTGCTGTAGATGTCAAAAGATCTAGTGGAGGTGGAAAGGAGGGGTACATCTTAGTAGAGAAAATGGAAAAGGTCTAAGCTTGGGGAAGAAGGTAAAGGCATCACTATGAACTTGGACTTTTGAAGTGGAATCAAAACAATACTTTTTTGGGGGGGACTTTTCTTTCTTCTTTGACAATACTGGGATTTAGGGTCTCATGCTTGCTTTCTAGGCAGGTGCTCTACCATTTGAGCCATATCCCCAGCCCTTTTTTGCTTTCCAGATATTTTTGATAGGGTCCTGCTTTTATACTAGAAGCCAGCTTTCGATCTCAATCCTCCAATCTGTGCCTCCCCATGGCTGAAAATATATAGACATTCCCCTACCACACCAATTATTTATGGAGATGATGGTTGTGTAACTGGCTAACTTCAAGCCACAATCCTCTCTATAACGATTTCCCAAAAGGTTGGAATTACAGGCATGAACCATCATGTCTACCTACAAATATAGGGCCACAGAAATGTAGTTTATTGTGCTAGTATAAAAACATGTAGACATTATCTCAGACTACATTTTAAGCTGGGAGCCAATGGCTTACACCTATAATCCTAACTACTCAGGAGGCTGAGATCTGAGGATTGCAGCTCAAAGCTAGCCCAAGCAGAAAAGTCCATGTTACTCTTATCTCTAATAAACTACTCAGAAAAAGCCTAAAGTGGTGTTGTGGCTCAAATGGTAGAGCACTAGTTTTGAGCACAAAGAGTCTCAGCACCCAGGCTGAGTTTAAGCCCAAAACTAGCAAAAAAAAAAAAAAAAAAGACTTTGCGCTGTTATTGGCTGAAAGCAAGAAAGTGATAAATTTTCCATTGTGTGCCCTGTGTACATGTTTGTGTGTGGTGTGGATAAATTTGGATCTGTGTAGTTTGGGGATATAAAGCTTTTCAATCTCATGACCACAAACTATAGTGGAATAAATAGAATTTTAAGTGCTAGTGAAGACAGATCAGTAAGACTCTCAAAATTATTCAAGTTGAATTGTATGCATAGGAAATAAAACATCAAGAAATTAGCACAGTTCCTGATTATCAGATTTCTTTTTCATTAAGAAAGTTCTTCGCAGTTAATGTTGCTATCATTATCTTTAGAAGTGTGGCTTAGCCAAGTCTTGATGGCTCACATTTGTACTCCTATTCAGGAGGCTGAGATCTCAGAATCTCAGTTCAAAACTATCACAGACAGACAAACCCACAAGACTCTCTTATTTCCAATGAACCAGCTAAAAGCTAGAACTGTAGGTATGGCTCAAGTGTAGAGCACCAGCTGCAAGTAAAAAACCCAAGTGAAAGTATAAGCTTCAGTATCGACATCATCCATTTATCTGTATACCAATTGTTGTATAACTCTCTCCACCAATGTAGTAAAACTGATGTCTTGACTTTCCCAGTTGTCATACATGTACTTCACCAGCTTGGCAATTGTTTCTGTATCTGTTTCAGATTCAAAGTCATAGCCTTTGCTTTCCTGCAAGTAGAGGTAAAAGACAAACTTCAGGAAATATCCATGATAACCAAATCTTCTCTACAGAATTTTTCCCTCAAAAATCTCCCTAATTTCTAGTATTTTTTTTATTGTGAAGATACTGTACAGAAGGGTTACAGTTACATGAGTAAGGTAATGAGCACATTTCCTATAGAGCAGTTACCCCCTCCTTTGTTTTTCCCCTACTTTCCCTTACTTCCTCACCTCCCCAACCCCTCCCTCCCCATCCCCGAAGTTGTAAAGTTTGTTTTCAACATAGTGTCCTACATGTCTCATTGTTACAATAGGTCCACTGTATCCTTGTTTCAGCATTTTGTTATTTCCCTACCCCTACCCAAATTTGAAAAATGTGCATACAAGATGCAAGACACCGAAATCAAATACAGTAACAACAGAGATTATACCATAGGGGGAAGAACATACAAAAGAAATTTTTAAAATCACATAGTACATTAAAAACAACAGCAACAAAGAAAAAAACCTCTGTGTCCATATCTTGGGGTACATTTCGCTTAGCATCATCTTATATGGTCACATGTACATAGCTTTTGACCTTTTCTGCTTGTCTGTAAGATTATCCTAGATGTATACTAGTTATTGCAAATAAGGAAAAAGACGGGACCTATGTTTCTTTGAGTCTGGCTTATTTCGCTTAATATAATTTTTTCCAAGTCTTTCCATTTCCTAGCAAATGGGGTGGTATCATTCTTTCTGAAGGCACAGAATTCCATTGTATATGCATATATCACAATTTCTTGATCCATTCATCTACTAAGGGACATCTGGAGTTGGTTCCATATCTTATTTGTTTTTTTTTTTTGGGTCCGGTCATGGGGCCTGAACTCTGGGCCTGGGCGCTGTCCCTCAGCTCTTCAGCTCAAGGCTAGCGCTCTACCACTTGAGCCACAGCGACACTTCTGGCTTTTTTCTTTTTGCTTATGTGGTGCTGAGGAATCAAACCCAGGGCCTCTGGCATGCAAGGCATGTGCTCTACCACTGAGCCACCTTCCCAGCCCCGGTTCCATATCTTAGTATGGTGAATAATACTGAGATAAACAGAGTTGTGCTGGTAGCTTTAGTATCTAGTATTTTTGAATACTATAATGCATTTACCCAAAATTAAGGTAATCATCTGACTATAGTGACCTCCAGATAAGTTCTATATTGCTGAACACTTTAAAGTTACATAAATATATGCCACATATGAATTAAATAATTAAAATATGATATATAAAACACTCAAAGCTGGGTGCCAGTGGCTCATACCTGTAATATTAGCTACTAATAAGGCTAAGATCTGAGAATAATGGTTTGAAGCCAGCCCAGGCAGTAAAACCTACGACACTGTCATCTCCAATTAACCAACAAACGTGGAAGTAGAGCTGTGGCTCAAGTGGTAGAGCACTCTCCTTAAGCAAAAAAGTTCAAGGATGGAGCCCAGAATCTTAGTTCAAGCTCCAGGGCCAAGAGGAAAAAACAAAAACACTAATTTCATAATAAATATAACAATTCTTTCATTGATGATGCTACCGTACACTCTAGTAAAATTGCCATTAACTATATGTGATTATTTAAGTCTAACTAAAACCCCGTAGAGTTGAAAATCTACTTTTTTTTTTTTTTTTTTTTTTTTTGGGTCCGGTCGTGGGGCCTGAACTCTGGGCCTGGGCGCTGTCCCTCAGCTCTTCAGCTCAAGGCTAGCGCTCCACCACTTGAACCACAATACCACTTCCGGCTTTTTTCTTTTTGCTTATGTGGTGCTGAGGAATCAAACCCAGGGCCTCAGGCATGCAAGGCAAGCACTCTACCACTGAGCCAACTTCCCAGCCCCAAAAATCTAGTTTCTCTGTCATAGTAACTTGACAGTCACTTGTGCCTGGTGGTTACGGCATTAGCATAAATGCACAATGTTGCATCACTGCAGAAAGCTTAATTGGACAGCCCTGAGAAAAAGGAACTTAGAAAGGTAACAACATAGCACATATCTGTTTAGGACATAGATTTTTCTTTTAATCTGCTCCAGTTATCATACATTCTAGAAATATTTTAAGTTTTGTGTGTGTGTGTATGTGTGTGTGTGTGTGAGAGAGAGAGAGAGAGAGATACTAGGGAATGAACTCAGGGCCTCACATTTCCTAGATAAGCACTCTACCACATGAAGCACACTTCTTTTTGCCCTTTTACTTTTCACATGAGGCACACTTCTTTTTCTTTTACTTTTCAAATACGATCTCTCTTGGCCAAGCCAGCCTCAGACCTTGATCTTCATAGCCTGAGATTACAAGTATGTACCACTATACCTGGCGCTAGAAAACTCTTTTATTAAATACTGAACAAGGTCTATCACAGAGTAAAAGATGCTGTGGGGGCTGAACTCTGGGCCTGGATGCTGTCCCTCAGCTCTTCAGCTCAAGGCTAGTACCCTACCACTTGAGCCACATCACCACTTCCAACTTTTTTCTGCTTATGTGGTGCTAAGGAATTGAACCCAGGGCCTCCTGCATGCGAGGCAAGCACTCTACCACTGAGCCAACTTCCTAGCCCTAGCTCCAAAAACTTTTATTTTCCCCATGCTGGTGGATCAAACTTAGGTTCTCTCGTGTGTTGGTCACTAATAATAAAGTCAAATTATTACTTCCCTTTTTTTTTTTTTGTATTTGGTCCGGTCGTGGGGCCTGAACTCTGGGCTGGGCACTGTCCCTCAGCTCTTCAGATCAAGGCAAGCACTCTACCACTGAGCCACCTTCCCAGCCCCTTACTTCCCTTTCTTGAGAGGAGGCAGAACTGAGGTTTGTACTAAGGATTTCACACTTGCTCAGCTGCCACTGTACCACTTGAGCCATGCCAGCAGCTCTGCTTACTGCTAGTTCTTTTGAAGCTAGTCTCATGGACTTTTCTGCTGGCCTCGAACTATCATCTTTTGGACATCAGCCTTATTGTAGCTAGTATTATAGGTCAGGGCCACTGATGCCATTAAAAAAAAACCAAAACAGTATTTACATAAGAAAACAGGATTATTCCAATGCAGTCAGAGAAAAGTCCAACAGACCACAACACCCTTACAATTGTTTTAGGATTACTCAATCTTATATAGATAGTGCTGCACATCCCAACACACCATTTCATGGATTCTCAAGCTAGACACCAGTGGCCCTTACCTAGAATCCTAGCTACTCAGGAGACTGAGATCTAAAGATCTCAAAGCCAGTCTGGGAAGGAAAGGCTGTGACACTCTTATTTCCAATTAACCACTTAAAAAATAAATAAATAAGCCGGGTGCTGGTGCTCACGCCTGTAATTCTAGCTACTCAAGAGGCTGAAATCAGAGAATCACAGTTCAAAGCCAGCCTGGGCAGAAAAGTCTGTGAGATTCTCATCTCCAATTAACTACCAGAAAACTGGAAGTGGTGCTATGGCTCAAGGTGTTAGAGCACTAGCCTTGAGCTAAAGAGCTCAGGGACAATGCGCAGACCCAGAGTTCAAGCACCATGACCAACAAAATAATAATAAATAAAGCCAGAAGCTGTGGACCTTGGCTCAAGTGGTAGAGCACTAGCCTTGAGCACAATACCTCAGGAACAGTGCCCAGGCCCTGACTTCAAGCCCCAGGACTGGCATACACAGCAAAGAAAGTATTCTCAAAGATTAGTATATTCTTTACTTACCAAAAACTTTTTCAAGTCTTTGTAATTGGTGATGATTCCATTATGAATAACAATAAACTCTATAAGAAATAAAAGTATTAATGACAAAAATTAGAAGCCTGATAAATGCTAGTAATGGCTATTGTTATGAATAGATTTTTGTCAAGTCAAAATGTTACAATATACTATCACCTACTATTCATGATTAGATACCTACCATCACCTAAATTACAAAATAGCAGTATCAGCTATGTGGCTTGTCAGAAGCATACAGTGTTTACAAGGAGTAAATAAAATGAACTGCTGTCTAGAAACATCAATTTCATCTGTGGCTAGAGTTCCTACGTTAATACAGGAAAGGGTCAAGTTTACTGGGCCATTTCCCAAATAAAACATCTGAGGTAAGTAACTGTCATCTTCATGTCTCTTTGATTTACTCTTGATATGAGTTTCAAACTAGAACAATTACCTAACTTACAATAAACAAGTGTAAGAATCTGCCAAAAATAATGATGCAGCTATTTGGATCTACAACTAACTTTACTTGCTCAAGCAAGCAAATTTCTGAATAATTCCTGAACTGTCACATAAAAATGTTAAAACATCATTCCAAGAGAAAATAATGTTCTTGGGATTATTTTTATCTCTTTCTTATTAAATGACAACACTGAAAAGTATAAGGATAATCAAAAGTTGGTAATACAGATTCTTATGTATAGCCACTTAAATTATAAATTTAAAATTCATACATCTAAAGAAAAATTACTACTAAATCCAAATTTTTCTTCTTCTATGAAATAGGATCTCACTATGATGCCCTAGCTGGCCTCCAACTTCTGTGTTCAAGTGATCCTCCTTCCTCAGCCTCCCCAGTAATCGGAGTAATAGATATGTGTCACTCAAGCCTGGCTTGAATCTAATTTTGTATCAAATTTTAAAAATGTTATTATACCTAAAGATCTGATTTTGGTTTGAAAGTGAGTGAACTTGAGCTGAATGTATTACAAATTATATAACAAAACAAACATTTTAAGAGAGAGAATACCATATCAACACTAAAAATGTTATATCAGGAATACATGAATTGTATCAGGAATACGTAATTCACACACTGCATAAATGAGAAAGCTGGATAATGAGTTAGGAGAGTCAGGATCTCTATACACTATTTGTCAATGAGTATGAAATTTTCCAGATAGAAAGAAAATTAAAATAACAAAACCATTACTGGCCCCCTGCAATCATCTCAAAGCACAAAGAATCTGTTCAAACCATTATTTTTGTCAGAGCGCTGGGGATGGCTATTAACAGGATTGGGTTCTCCATGAGTTGCCCAACGGGTATGAGCTATTCCAAGGTGGACATCAAATTCTATATCCAAATCCATATCCTGTTGTTCTGAAAAAGAAATTCTGTATTTAATAAAGTTGTAAAAATGCTAGAAGCCATGTTAAGTATAAGTAGTCCTCTGCCTTATCCACAGAAATGTTTCAAGGTACTCATACATACACAAATGCTATACCTTTTCCATCTTCACTAAGAACTTATCATGCATGTCCTGTGGCTGGAACACTTTAGCCTGAGACGTGACAGGCTGCTTTTGGCAGCCTTGGTATATTTTTCTTCTTTCCTTGTTAAGCACAGAACTATTAACTGTCCTATTTATAGGCAGCACTGATGGCTTCCCAATGGCACATCTGAACCTCCAGCAGCAAGCAATGCTCTTGCATTTGGGGCATTACTAAATAAGAGAAAGTTACCTCCATATAAATAGTACTTACCTCCATATAAGTAGTACATAAGTAGTACTACCAAAAAAATACCAATGTATTTAACTAAGTTCCTTCTCTAATTGTTGTGACTTTTTTTTTTTTTAGTACTGAAGAATTTAGTCTTACACTTGCTAGGTACATGCTTTACCACTTGGACCACATCACAGCCCTTTTCTGCTTTAGTTATTTTTCAGATAGCATACTCATTTTTCTAATTTGTCCATTGCTAGCCTTAGACGTGATCCTCCTACCAACAGCCTCCCACACAGTTTGGATCATACCATCTGCTACTAAGAACATTTTGCTGTTTGAGTTGAGGTATTAGTAACTGTTCTCCCAGTCTGTGCTCAAACCACAATCCTTTCAATTTCTACTTTCTGAGTATGTAAGATTACAGACATGTGCCAATGCACCCAGTACTATGACTATTTTTACAGCTCGGGCTCAATTTAAAGCCAGTCAAGCAATAACAAAATCACTTTTTATTTCTTCCCTTATACTTTAAATATCATCCTCAAAATGGATACTAAAATATGAGGTATTGGCAAGAACACAGAACAGGAAAAGGACAAAAAGCAAACTAAGTATATTACTGTGAACTTCTTCATCCAGTGCCTTAACTTTTCCTTTCTTCTTAATGAGTTGGATTTTACAGGCATTAGCTTCCCAGTCTTTGTCATTGCCTCCATCAAATCCCACACCTAAATCAAGAAGAAAGAAAGCAAGATTTAGAAAGTAGCTTCTGCTAAAATTATCGATATAAGGCAATTTTTAATTTAAAATTATACTTTCATCTAATTAATTTAACATTTATTGAAAACACATTATGCACCAGTCATGACAGCTGCTCCAGACAAAAACAAAAACAAGGCTGGACTGTGTGGGTCAGCAGACAAGCCTAGAAGGCATAAGGTTGAGGAGGGGAGAAGAGAGGGTAGGAAAAAGAGAATAGAGGAAGGGAGCAAGGAAGGAAGGCAGAGAAGGAGAAAAGAGAGAGATGGAGGAGGGGAGGGAAGAGGAAGGAGGACTCAGTTACTGTTGCCATTTTCCAACAGTCTTTAAAAAAACAGATAAGAAAGGACTAATTGCTACAGAAGTTATTACATGTACAAGCAATTACAATACACATTTACAAGTTATAATGAAATATTTCAAGTCACAGCTGAAGGAGGATGGAGAAATGAAACAAGGGGGGGGAGGCATATACCTTAGAAGAAGGATAAAGAGCAACATGAGAAAAGCAACTTTTGAAACTACCTTTTAAGTTGCTAAGGATCTTAAGAATTTATCTTTGAAGAGACAGGAAAGCAATGAGTCATTTCAACAGAAAAATAATACTGCAAAAACAATTAGCAAACTGAAAAACAGTGCAGAGGATGGGTTGGGGAGAGAGAGGACAAAGCAAAAATGAATAGGCCTGAACGAAAGAATAGCAATGAAGATAGAGAACGTGATCATGAGGACTAGAACTGACTGGATATGCAATGACAGTGCAAGACAGTCTAAGATACCTGCTAGGCTCAAAGGAGTTATGAGATTAGGGAACTGAGAGGTAATTAAATACATTTTGTCATTCTGAAAAAAAAATTGTTAGACAATAATGATTATTAAAGGAATGTGGAGGGAATTGAAGGGGTATGGGTGAATAATACAATGTAATCAGTTCAATTCCAAACATTCAAAGGCTGTAACATGTGCTTTCCACAGGAAGAAAGTCTAGAAAGCAGGTGGAAACATGAGTCTACACACTTGGGAAATACAGCTGGAAATACACTTTCTTTTTTTTTTTTTTGTCAGTGTGGGGCTTGAACTCTGGGCCTAGGAGCTATCCCTCAGCTCTTCAGCTCAAGGCAAGCACTCTACCACTTGAGCTGCAGCGCCACTTCCGGTTTTCTAGTGGTTTATTGGAGATAGGAATCTCACAGTCTTTCCTGCCCGGGCTGGCTTTGAACCGAGATCCTCAGATCTCAGCCTCCTGAGTAGCTAGGATTACAGGCGTGAGCCAACAGCGCCCAGCTTGGAAATACACTTTAGAAATAAATAAGATAGCTAGGCACTGGAGGCTCATGTTTATAATCCTAACTACTCAGGAAGCTAAGACCAGAGGATTGTGGTTCAAAGTCATCAGGGGCAGAAAAGTCTATGACACTCATCTCCAATTAACCACCAAAAATCTGGAAGTAGCGCTGCGAAAGTGGTAGTGTCAGCCTAGAGTAAAAATAATGAAGGGACATTGAGTACCCAGGCCCTGAGTTTAAGCCCCTCTACCAACAAAGAGGAAAAAAAAAGCCGGGCGCTGGTGGCTCACGCCTGTAATCCTAGCTACTCAGGAGGCTGAGATCTGAGGATCGCGGTTCAAAGCCAGCCCGGGCAGGAGAGACCGTGAGACTCCTATCTCCAATAAAACCACCAGAAAACCGGAAGTGGTGCTGTAGCTCAAGTGGTAGAGTGCTCGCCTTGAGCTGAAGAGCTGAGGGACAGCGCCCAGGCCCAGAGTTCAAGCCCCACAACCGACAAAAAAAAAAAAAAGAGGAAAAAAAAAAATAAGAAGCGGGCTGGGAAGGTGGCTCAGTGGTAGAGCGCTTGCCTTGCATGCATGAGGCCCTGAGTTTGATTCCTCAGCACCACATAAGCAAAAAGAAAAAAGCCAGAAGTGGCACTGTGGCTCAAGTGGTAGAGCGCTAGCCTTGAGCTGAAGAGCTGAGGGACAGCACCCAGGCCCAGAGTTCAGGCCCCACGACCAGACCCCCCCCCCAAAAAAAAAAAGTAAGAAGCTAAATGTGGTGGCTCCTGCCTGTATTCTTAGTACTTTGAGAGGCTGATGCACTTTGAGATCTGCCCAAGCTACACAGGAAATTCCAGGCCAGCATAGCAAGAATCTTTGTCATTAACTTTTAAAAAATGCTACAGGGCCAGGCTCAGTGGCTCATACCTATAATCCTAGCTACTCAGGAGGCTAAGATCTGAGAATTACGGTTTGCAGCCAGCCCTGGAATGCAAATCTTTTGAGATTCTCATCTCCAATTAACCAGAAAGCCAGAAGTGGAGTTGTGGCACAGGGGCAGAGAACTAGCCTTGAGAAAAAAACTCAGGGACAGGGTCAAAGCCCCGATATCAAACCCAGGACTAGCATGCACATACACAAATGCACACAACAATTAAAAAAAAAAAAAAACCAGTAGAGCTGGGAAGGTTACTCAGTGTAGTGTTTGCCTTGCATGCATGAGGCCCTGGGTTTGATTCCTCAGCATCACATAAGCAGAAAAAGCCAGAAGTGGAGCTGTGGCTCAAGTGGTAGAGCACTAGCCTTGAGCTGAAGAGCTGAGGGACAGCGCCCAGGCCCAGAGTTCAGGCCCCACATCGACAAAAACAAAACAAACAAACAAACAAAAAACCACTAACAGATGAAAGAAAGGGAAGGTAGATATTTAGACATGTATTATAAATTGCAACATATGGGAGTATGGGAAAAAGGTATGTCAGAGCTCACCCATAAAAACACAAAGTAACACAGTGGGCTGAAGAAATAACCTTAAAGACATTCCTTATTTTTTTTCAAAAAACCCAAAGCATACAGAAAACAAATAGCATCCACATGGGAAAGATACATTGCCAGAAAAGGAAGGAAAACATTAATAACAAAGGACTTGTAGGATTGAATTTCTATCACTGAGCAGTTAAGCAAGTTAAATACACAATATGAAGCATACTAAATGTTAAATGTAAAATGTGAAGTGTACAGGAAAGGGATGTGTCGCTGCTACTCTTACAACTCCCTACTTCCAAATTTGGCCCTTGGCTGGTATCTGGGGGCTTGAGTCTCAGAATTCCCATCACCCTCAAGGAGTAAGAATGGTTCATTATACCTTTGTTTTGTGCAACTATTCAGTCTGTCCCAAATACCTGCTTTATCCTGGTGAATTAGGAATTTTGTTGCATGCTAAACATATGGTAATTATGGGACCAGATCCAATAAAATCCTTGGGCACTAAGTTACTAATGAGTTCCCCTCACAAGTGACACTTCATGTGCTATACAACTCATTGCTAAGGACGTTGTAAGTACCACACACTGGAAGTTCTTGAAAGCTCATGCCTAGTTTCTTCCTCATTTCACATCATATACCTGTTGCTTTTGCTGATATTGCTTTGCATTACTTTGCTGTAATAAACTGTAGCCATAAGTTAACTATATGCTGGGTCTCATAAATCACCCTGGGGAATGATGGAATCTGAGGATCTTGTGACTCTCAGACTTACCCATGATGAAAAAGTAATGAAAGGCAGAATTTGTAGAGTAAGACTCTTTAGAATTTGCTCCCATAAAAATGCCTGTGTGATTTGTGTTTTTACAGTAAAGATCATCTCAGAAGCAATGCTACACATAGATAGCAACACTGTTGAAACACATAAACCCTTTAAACATGAAAAAAAGACAAAAATTCTTCACACTGGAATCTATAACACAACAGACATTGCTAGAGTCAAATAAGAAAAAGACTAAATTCAACAATCAAGCCCACCCATAAGACATTTAAAAGGAAATACCAGCAGAATCATATCCTCTGTATTCCAGTCTCTGAAGGCCTTTGATTAGGGTCTCTAAGATTTCTCGTCTTGTGCGAGGAACATGGTAATTTAAGTAAGCAAATATACCTGCAAACAAACATTTAACAGAAAACTCTGATTAGTGAATAATTGACATAATTATGTTTAGGATACATAAAATAACAAGCTAAATCCTTTTTGTATACCTGTATGTGACACTGAAGTTTGAACTCAGGACCTCATACTTGGTAGGTAGGCCTTCTACTTTTCAGTAGTCAGTCCTTTGCGTTATTTTCAAACAGATATCATGTTTTTCATTTATCCTCTATTTACAACTCCTGCATAGATAGGATCAAAGGCACCACCATGCTTAAGTCTCAATAGCTTTTCACCTGGGCTGGCCCTGAACCATAATCTTTGCAATCTCTGCCTTTTGAGCAGCTAGAATACATGCATGAACTACCATATTTTCCCTCTTCATTTTTGTTTTAAAAAAAATCTTCATTTCAAATTGTTTAAAACAAGTGAAAATTTTCAAAGGTAAACTTCTTGTACATATGTTGAAATAAATGTTTAGTGTGTATGTGTGTGCGCGTGCAAGTGTACTATGTCAGTTTTGGGGCTTGAACTCAGGACCTGAGCCCTGTTCCTGAACTCTTTTGCTCAAGGCTAGAACTGTACCACTTGTGCCACAGCTCCACTTCTGACTCTGTGTGTATGTGTGCTTATTTGGAGACAAATCTGTGCATGTATGTGCGTGCATGCGTTTATTTGGAGACAAGTATCACTGGACTTTCCTTCCCAGCTGGCTTCAAACCACAATCCTCAGAGCTCAGCCTCAGAGTAGCTAGATTTAAGAGGCATGAGCAACCAGGATGTGGCTATGTTCAGTGCTTTTAAAAGAAGCTTATAAGGGTGGTAACTTATTTTTCTTGACTGCCATTTTGCCAAGTAAAATTTTTAAAAATTACCAAATTTAGCCAACCGCCAGTGATTCACACCTGTAATCCTAGCTCTTCAGGAGGCTAAGATGTGAAAATTGTGGTTCAAAGCTAGCCTAAGCAGAAAAGTACATGAGATTCTCATCTGCAATCAATCACCAAAAAGCCAGAAGTACAGCTGTGGCTAAAAGAGGTGGCACATTAGCCTTGAGCAAAAAAGCTCAGGGATAGCACCCAGGCCCAAAGTTCAAGCCCCAGTACTGGCCCTGGCCGTACTCATGCACACACATGTGCGCTCACGCATGCACACACACGCACGCACACGCACACACATACACACACAAACTATATATGATTGGGAGTTTCACCTGGTGGTAAAGCAAAATCCTAAGTTCAATGACGAAAGAAAACAATATACAGAACATAATTCTTCCACAACAATACTACAGCTGGTTGGGTCTGGCATCCCAAATACTCAGGTTGAGAGGCTGACCAAAAGGCTGAAAATCACTGTTGAGAGACCCATTAAAATTAGTGCCTAACTCTAAACTGGAGAAAGAAAGAAAGAAAAGAAAGAAAGAAAGAAAGAAGGAAATGAAGGAAGGAAGGAAGGAAGGAGGGAGAAAGAAAGAAAGAAAGAAAGAAAGAAAGAAAGAAAGAAAGAAAGAAAGAAAGAAAGAAAGAAAGAAAGAAAGAAAGAAAGAAAGAAGGAAGGAAGGAAGGAAAGAAGGAAGGAAGGAAGGAAGGAAGGAAGGAAGGAAGGAAGGAAGGCAGGAAGGAAGGAAGGAAGGAAGGAAGGAAGGAAGGAAGGAAGGAAGGAAGGAAGGAAGGAAGAGAAAGAAAGAAAGAAGAGAGGGGGAGGGAGGAAGGGAGGGAGGGAGAAGAAGGAAGGAAGGAAGGAAGGAAGGAAGGAAGGAAGGAAGGAAGGAAGGAAGGTAAGGCAGGCAGGCAAAACAATCCAGGTGCTGGTGATTCATGACTGTAATTCTAGCTGTTCAGGTGGCTGAGATCTGAGAATCATGGTTCAAAGTCAGCCCAGGAAAATAAATCTGAGTTATCTCCAATTAACCATCAAAAAATGTAAAATAAGTGTGGCTCAACTAGTCGAGTGCCAGCCTTGAGTGGAAAAGCCAAGACAGAATATGAGGCCGAGTTCAAGCCTCAGTATGTACACGCATGTATGCGTGTGTGTGCATGTGTGTATTGTGTGTGTGCCAGGGCCAATACTAGGGCTTGAACTTAGGGCTTGGGTGCTGTCCCTGAGCTTTCTTGCTCAAGGTATGTCCTCAAACATGTCATCAAATCAGCTTTTTATTCTACCACCAGGCCTCAGTTTTCCCTTCTGTAAAATGAACTTTGAGATGATACAACATTCCCCAGGAAGCACCAAGTTATAAACATAGATTCAGCAGCACTATTTTCTAAATAGGAAAGGAAACTATAGCTGGGCACCAGTGACTCACACCTGTAATTCTAGCTATTCAGGAGGCTGAGATCTAAGACAGTGTTGTCAAAGCCAGCCCAGGCAAGGAAGTCCATGAGACTCTTATCTCCGATAAATTACTCAGAAAAGGCCAGAAGTAGCACTGTGACTCAAGTGGTAGAGCACTAGCCTTGAGCACAAAGAGGCTCAGGGACAGCACCCAAGCCCTGAATTCTAGCCCCAAGATTGGCAAAATGAAAGAAAACTATGACTGATTCACAACACCTATGAGGCATACTAACACAAAGGCTGTATTTGCTACCTCTGATAATCTAGGTATTGTACAATACCCCTTAGCTCATTATCTGTGATATTTGAGGCCTCCTTCATTTGCTTTGAAGCCATTTCTGATGGCTCTGGCACTTTTTTTTTTTTTTTGCTAGTCCTGGACTTGAACTCAGGACCTAGGCACTGTTCTTGAGCTTCTTTTGCTCAAGACTAGCACTCTACCTCTTGACCCACAGCGCCACCTCCAGCTTTTTCTGTTTATGTGGTATTGAGAAATCGAACCCAGGGCTTCATGTATGCTAGACAAGCACTCTACCACTAAGCCACCTTCCCAACCCCTCTGGCACTTTCTCGTACCTGACAGACTATACCTCTCTTCTGTGCCTCAGTTCTTTGTAACACCACTTACATGATTTTGAAAGCTCTTTAACTACAAAACTAAAGCTGAAATCCTGGCAAAAGAGCATACTGCTTTCAGAATATTTTATTAAGGATTAATAACAAGTAAAAATATTAAGAACATTCTTCTACAAAGCCACATTATCTTGCACACCTAAGGTGGTAATAAGGTTTTCATCACTACCTAACACAATGTTTACATTCAAATTTTTCCTACTACCAAAAAAAATCCTTTTACAGCAGCTTTGTTTATTCAAAGATCTAAAAAGGATCTCCCCTCACATTTGGTTGCTAAGCCCGTAAGTCTCTGTGATGCCTGAATTTGCACCCCCTCAACTGCCCCATTTTCCCCAAAACAAGGCATGACCAATTTTCTTGATGAGTGTCACACCTCCAGGTTGTATCCAACTGTCTCCAAAATGTTATCTAAACAGTTCCTCTAACCCCTGAATTTCCTGCAAAATGGATCAAAAGACTTGATAGTCTTAGGTTAAGAACTAAGCCAGGCATTGGTGGCTCACCCCTATAATCCTAGCTACTCAGGATGCTGAGATCTCAGGATTATGGTTTCAAGCCAGCTAGGGCAGAAATGTCCATGAGACACTTATCACCAATTAACCATCTAAAAACCAGAAGGGGCACTGTGGCTCAAAGTGGTAGAGTGACAGCCTTGAGTGAAAAACCTCAGGGCCAGCACCCAAGCCCTTAGTTCAAACCCCATGACCAACAGGAAAAAAAAAACAAACTAGAGTACAAACAAGAATGGTTCCAGGAGTGTATGTATATTGTCTAGTCATCCCCTATTGATGAGGGTAGGATTCATCACTGGTTTCAGGTAAAGGCAATCAGATTACTAAATCTATGAAATTCTGAAACATCTTCAGAATCCTTTGTAGGTTTAGAGACTGATAGCACTGATCTAAAGATATGAATGTTTTCTTTCTCTGTGATCCATAAAATAATGGTGCATTCTCCAATTAGGCATCTTAGACTCAATGAAATAGCATCTATTATATTACAACTTAAAAATGCTTTTTATTTGATAAAAGTAGCATTACTGCAATAATCATTACTGTCATTTTTTGGTTTGCTACTGAGAGGGGTGGGGGAAGGAGGAGGAAAGAGGATACAGAGGTGCAAGCAACATTTTTCCTTCTAAGACTGGGCAGGAGCTGAAAGCAATAAAAGGATGAAGGAGGGGCTGGGAAGGTGGCTCAGGGGTAGAATGCTTGCCTTGTATGCATGAGGCCCAGGGTTCCATTCCTCAGCACCATATAAGCAGAAAAAAACAGACGTGGCACTGTGGCTCAAGTGTAGAGCGCTAGCCTTGAACTGAAGAGCTGAGGGACAGCACCCAGGCTTCACACTTCAGGCCCCACGACCATCCAAAAAAAAAAAAAAATGATGAAGGATACCAAGAAAGAAATTTTCTAAGATGGAAGTAATACAGCTGGGAGAAGATAGGATAAGGGATTTGCCTAAACAATATCTACTAAGGAAAATCAGAACTAATAAGTCAGTCTGTCAGTTTTCTAGACCTGCTTTTAGAACTATCAGTCCAAGACAGTTCATTAGCTAAAATAAGGGGATTATCTGTCATCTCAGAGTGGCTGGAAAAGTATAATGGCAGCAAGTCACTAGCTACCACACAAGGTGCTTTCATAGGGATGCTTGTCAGAAAAGAAATCACTAGTTCAATCTTTATTTTCAGATCTCTGATCTAGCATATCAAACTTTCAAATGAACAGATCTTCTCAAGGCATCTATGAAAGTCTGGAAATCTATGGGATAAATGCTTCAGTATCTCACACAGAAGCTGGATGAATAGAGCCACTGTCTACCCCCAGACAGGCATGGGCTTTCAGTGTAAATTTTCTTATTTATGACTCATACTTGGGATAAAATTTTCCTTTGGTGAAGCAGATGTTTGTACTCCATGTATCATTCTCCAAGAACAGGAACTGAATGGACTCCTTGACACTCACCAGTCTAGAACTCAAACCATCATTTAAGCTTCTACGTTCCTAATCACACGCTCCCTCTCAGTCTTCCTATAT